CAGCTTTCAGTCATGTTGCAGTAGGAGGGGTTGTTTGACATTCCCTTTGAGATGGCGGAGCACAAAATAAATGTAATTGAATTTACAATTTTTAAAAAGTTTTTTTAACCACTATTCTTATCCCTTTCAGCTGGTATGACAGTGAAATGGCTTTTTACTGTGTGTGTGTGTTTTAGTTGTGTGACACCCGCGTCTCTTTTTCTCTCTCTCTCTCTATCGTGTTGCTGGCAGTGTTGCATAGATGATAATGAGGAAATGCTCAAGCTGTTATTGGAGTACGGGGCCAATGTGAATGCATGTGACAGTGAAATGTGGACCCCCTTGCATGCAGCCGCTACCTGTGGTCATGTGACCCTGTGCAAGCATCTCATTGACAAGTAAGTAGTGGGGTTGGAGCCACATGCTTGATATAATGACTGTGTGCTGCTTTATCTGAGTAATTTCTCGGTGCAAGTGGTTAGAGGTTTCCACTGGTTGATTCTAATTCTTTTCTTACCCTCCATGTACAGCTGAACCTTCTCTAACGAACACCTCTGTCCAAGACAGTCACCCATACAAACATTCCTTTCCTAACTCTTCTCTTGCAATTGCATTTTTTCTACATTATAATGATAGTGCTCAAGAGGTCCTTTGTCTCAGATGACAACTTTTCTCCTTGACAATGGGTGGCCTTCCTGGACTATTTCGACTGTACATATAAAATACATATAAAGGATCTGAAGAGTTTAAGTAAATACTACTTTTCTTTAGTATCAGGTTAAAAAAGGCAGGTGGTTAGAGGGTGCTACTAGTCGGTCCTACTTTTTAATTTGCCCCCTGTTGTTTCTGTCTAGTTGTCTTATTTTTTCCTCCACACTAAATGGCCACTATGGTTTCAATGGGCTCCTTTTTACTCAAACAAACAAGCAAGTTCAGAAGTACGGCAGCAATACGTAGAAACATTTGTGAGAGATTCTCACATTTATTATGTTAGGGTTGGGTAAACTCTCTGCCGTAACAGAACAAAGTGAAGTCTCATTAATGATTACTTTCTGCTGTTCCTTTTGATCTCTCCTATTTCCCCTTTTGTATGTCAATAGTTGTGTTTGCTGTTTGTTGGATGGTTGGAGGGTGCCACTGGTTGGTCTTTCTTCTTCACTCTCCCTTTCTTGTTTCTTTTCCTTGCACAAAATGACTATTATTGCATTGATGTGCTTCTCTTTACTGAAAATACAAGTCTGCTGTTTCTGTGGCGCTTATAACGTATACACAAAATGAGGACAAATTTATGGACAGTGTATTCACTTATTTCCTTACCAATTCTGTACAAGTGTGTGGTGTACTCGAATTTTCCTTTTATAAATGGGCAGCTATTTTGTTTCACAATTTATGTGAATCGGTGTTGTCAAAAATGCAGTTTTTGGACACCTAAATAGACATAAAGGCCTTGAACATCTAGCGCTCACTGGCATAATTGAAGGCAAACAAGGCAGGGGTATTCCCAGAGCAACCCACTTGGAGAACCTGAACTGATGGGTGACGCAGGGAAAGATCAGGGTAATGTAGTATGTAGTTTTTTTTTAGAGCTTTCGAGCGGAGGAATGAATGAAGAACCAAGATTGCTAATGTATGTCGCAGATCTGGTACTTGATGATGAGTGTTGTGATATCTTCAGATGTGTAAGTTGTACTTGTAACACCATGTGTCCCAATTATCATGGTACCATCTGTATGTGCAGTGGAGCTGAACTGCTGGCTGTGAATGCCGACGGAAACATGCCCTATGATATCTGTGAAGATGAGGTTACTCTGGATTACATAGAGACAGAGATGGCTAAAAGAGGTAAATATGTTTGCTGTGTCACCTGGCTTAGTGAGGATGAGACTATGAAATGCCTTAAAAGTTAAAGTTTTCACATGTTGAAACCCAAGTGGGCATTGTTAATACATCCCTCATCCCCTTTCCAGAGCCTAGATAAATTAAAAAGTAAAGTAGTATGAACTATATAGAATGAAAATAGAAAAATGGAAAGCTCTTTGTTCAAATTAACCATGGTTTTGGATAGTGCTGCAGTTTTGTTCTCAATGAGGTGGTGCTCCATGAACAGCATGGGTTGGCCTGTGTAAGCTTAGTTGGTATTAAGCTTGCCTGGCTCCGGGATGGAGTTTGAAGAATGGTGTTCTCTCGCTTGGCTTTTTTGAGGAGTTTGTAAAATGTTTTTTCCAGTAATTTTTATCATGCCTAAGGTCTTAGGTCAGAGTATCTTCATCGTAGATAAACGTATACTTTTGAAAACGCATTCAAAATGTTTATTTAATATTCATTTACTTTTTCCATTCTTCCTGTGTATTACTCATACTGTTTTGAACAAGAGACAGTAAATTCATACTGTAACATGATTTATTTAATCTCTCTTTGAATTAATTATAGGCTACCATTTTGAAAAGTAGCTGTAATAGTGTAGCCTACTGTTGTTAGATGTGTAATCCACTATTTGAAAGCTTCCTTGGACATTCAGACAACTTGATGGAAAGGGGTTAAGGGATGGAGGAGATTTAGATTAATTTCATGCTTGTTTACATCCCTTCATTTATCTGTTACAGCCACTGGCTTTTTCGGTCTTTTAAGTTAATTGTCAGGGAGCAATGTTTTCTCAGGTATCACCCAAGAACAAATTGATGAAACACGACTGACAACAGAGCGACAGATGCTCAATGACCTCAAAGACTTTGCTGCTAATGGAGGAGATCTGGAAGTTAAAGACAACAATGGTGCTTCTATGGTCAGTGTGAATATTTGTTATGAATGTTTTTACAACTTTTCTTGCACATTTCTTGTACAGTGCTCTGATTAAAGGGAAATTTGTCTGCTACAGTCTTTCATCTTCTCCTTTGTTAAGGAGAAAGGTGTCTGAGCTTTATCGTATTCCTTTAGTGCATAGTATTGTGTGGCAATATGGTGAAATTGGGTGCTCATCCATTTAGAAACGCATTCCTGTTTTAATTTTAGTAAAAAACGCTGACCAAAGGCCTGTAAAATGTGTGAATTTTCAGTTTCCAAAGACAGCGAAGCTTTGGAAGTCATTTACTCAGTAATTTCACCTCTATCACCAGGGGACCCCCATCTCCTTCAATTGCAAATATCTCAACTTCTAGTGAAGAAAGAAAGGGTTTTAAAAAGCATCAGAGAAATACACCAATAACTCCATGTGCCCAAAGATTGATGAGCACTTGATCCACTGCAAAGTGACATATATTGTGTAGGGGATAAATTAGCAGCAGGATAAGGAATTATTTGTGTCCTTTTTTATTGTACATAAAAAAAATTTCTTCTTGTACTTATGTACTCAAGCTTCAAACAGGATTGTATTCACTTTGAAGAATAAATGATATTAAGTTCACAAAGAATGACTTATTCTTTGCCCCGAGCTGTGCACCTAAATTTTTATACATACTGAATCTGCCCTTTTTCGTTGTTCGAAAAATTGTTAGAACAAAGCACACAGAATCCCCCTCTTTTTGTATTGCATTGCAGATAGATCTACCGCTATTGGGGGGAATTTATAAAGCGTCTATGCTCTGAAGATATGTAATTTTTTCTGTAGAGTACTTTCTCTGCTTTATTTTCTTCCTTCATCCTTCATGTTTGCCCTGATCTGTGTGCCAAAGGCTACACCCTTAAATGATTCATTTGTACCCTAGAGGGAGTTAAATCATAAGAAAACAAAACGTCTAAGTGGCCAGACGATTTTTATGACTGAAATCTTACTATAAACTTTCAATAAATTCTTCATACTTTCTGCTAGGAGAGGGATGATAGTGAAAGAAAATGAAAGAGCTGTGGTTATAAGACTTGGTGTGACATGAGCTGTACATTTTCATGTAGCTTTAACTAGACTTCTTTTGCTCTTGGAATAGTTTAGATCTGTGGATTTTTTCATTTATTTTTTGAAGTACAGGACTAATTGAAAGTTGTTGTGCTTCGTTTAGCACATTCTAATTAATTTGACTACTCTAGAGCCATATAAATTCCTAACCAAATTGCTTTAAATCCAGTTTATGACCGCTTTTTGAACAGATTTGTGTTTCAAACATTTCAAGTTATGTGATTTGGCCTCATTTGGCCAGTACTAAGTAAATTGGCATAATGACAATCTTTTTAAAAACCCTAACCTCCAAAGTTTAGGGGACACATCCTGTTGAAAATGAAACTGCCTTTAATGTGTAAATCTGGGGTCATTTTTGTAACTCACAACTAGTTTCTGCGAAGCGAAAGTTATTGTGGATAGCCAAAATAATTTGTTTCATGTGACCAGTAGAGCAACTTATTCGCCAGACACTTGTGTTTGAATATTAAAGAGCCAAATGAAACTGCCGAATGAAACTGTTAAATTTTGTGTTTTTTTAAGCTTCACATTGCAGCGGCAAATGGCTACCTGGATGTGGCGGACTTCCTGCTTGACCACCATGTTGCGGTGGATACACGAGATACTGAGTCCTGGCAACCCATTCATGCTGCTTCCTACTGGGGACAGGTGAGAGACTGTGATGTTTCATTGACCTCACCACTATGCTGTTCTCCCTTCGGCACCGTTTAGAGAAAATCACCCAAAAATATTTGATAAAAGCCTCAGTGCGAGAAATGTAGATTGGACGTTCCAGACGTAGACCTTTCTTCAACATGCCCATAAGGCATACATCTATATTGAATGTTTTTGGACAAAGACTTCTTTACAACACACATTTAACTCAAGAATTATACTTTGTTCCTCTTGCATCTGCAATTGTTTATGGAACCAGTTAGAATAGTTTTGTAAATTATTTGTGATGTTGGCTCAGGTAATTGTAAATGAAAATTGTCATCGGAGAAAGAGTTTCATGTTAGAAGACGACGACTAACATTTTTGTGGCTAGCTATTGTCATTGTAGGATTGTGTAATGTTAGTAAGAAAAACCCAGGGTATTAGAACAAAATGGGGACTTAACTGACAGCCAGTGCTTTCCAGGAGCATCTACAAGAGTTAATTGTTTGAAAAATGTAAAAACTTGTTTTAGTTTCGTATTACTTTCTAATTTTATTGAGCTAATGTCAGCACATTCTGGGTACACCCATTGTTCTGTTTTCGAAAGAATCTGTGAAAGACTTACTACCCTTTTCTTTTCTGTAGCCATGTAGTAACTACAATAGTCATTTGTTTAAAAGATTTTTATTTCTTTTTTAAGCTCCACAAAATGCACACCTCTATTACGGAAAGATACGAATGGACTACTTTCAGATTTTTACTTATCTTAATGAAACTACTACATATAGCCTATTAGGTAGGGTTGGGTCGGGCTTGCAAAATTAGCGTCCGCGAGTAACAAACTACTCGTTGGCACTACCCGCAAACGAGCGGACGGGTAAGGAACCGTCCGTTTGTGAAGAGTAGTTCACTCGCCCCAACTCTACTATTAGGACGTTCAGTACCTCTTTTATGCTCCCTTACATTGTTCCCATCTCCTGTAAAGAATTTAAAATGTTGTTGATATGTATGTCATTTAAGATTTATGTTGTCGTCGTGGAAGTCTCTTCTGTAAAATGTGTGTTTTATGTGATGTGGACCAATGGCCTAAGACACCGATTGAACACTTACGTACGTCTCCTGTAATGAAAACTTTTTTGTTCTCTTGTCAGATGGAAGTCCTTGAGATGCTTGTTCAAAATGGTGCAGACTTGGACTCCAAAACAAAGAATGGAGAAACCCCGTTTGGCAAGTGTTTTGATCGTTATTATCATTATCATCCCCATCGTCAAAATATGGGTAGTCTGTGGGCATACAAGTTTAGTCTACACCTCCTACTTCTTTCTTTTCAGTTTCAGTATTTTCTAGTGACTTAATCTGATTCTGCGGAAATGTGATCACAATTGTGCAGAATTTCCATGAACACTTTGCGATCACTTGCCGCAATAATTTTATAATACACCAGTGAAAACTACTCGTTCCAGTCACCTGGCACAGTTAGGCCCGAGAAGTCCGTTGCAGTCATTCTCCTGGCTGGGTGACCAGATGGGGTATTTTGTACTGCTGGCTGTGTGACCTCAAAGTGTTAAAGAGAGGTGCTGCTTTTAAAACTGATCTTTGTTACTATGAATCCTCAAGTAATTTTTTTAAAAAGGAGGTATAGCAGGCTTCAAAAATCATAATTACACTTTATTTTAAAAAATTCAGTAACTTTGGGAACAGCAGCCATACTGAAAAAATACAGCTTTCGTAACACTAAAAATGATTTTTTTTCTTCCTAAAATTTTAACTCAGATTTGATATCTTGATGGATGGATATATACTGTAAACGAAATTATGTACAGTTGGGCTCATGGATGTCTTAAATAGAGAAAAAGTTATCAGCAGATAACTTACCTCCCTCCTTTACATTTCCTAATGTGATTACCCAGTCTTCCATAACTCAGTTATAAATGCAGCTATTCATCTGTCCATCTGTACAAAGTTTGATTATGATGGGAGTGACAGATCGTGAAGATTTTATGTAAATGAAATAGAAAATAAAGAAGTAGGTGAAAAAAAAACAATCAATGATAGAAGTTATGAGGAAAACGTAATTTGTTACATAACACACATCATTTTCTCAAAATTATACAAATTCTCCCCATACCCAGTGTTTTTGAAAGACACTTTTTGGTTAAAATATTTGTTCTTCAAAGTTTCTGATAGCTAGTTTTAGGTGCAGACAGGAATTGTTCAGGTACTATAATTTAATCCAATAAATTGTCAATTTTAAAAGCTGCCTCTCCCCTTAATTCCACTAGACAGCATCATCATCATCATCATCATCATCATCATCATCATCATCATCATCATCATCATTGTCATCATCATCATCATCAGGCACCATGCTAATCTACATTTACAAGTGTTGACCTTTCTTCATTCCTGTCAGCCATTATGACGCAGCAGGTTGCTAGTCCCTTGCTTCTGTTTGTTTTTCCTGTTTGTCTGACATTTCATCTCTTTGTTTTTCTCATTCTCTTTTCCCATCCTTCAATTTGAGTCCAACTGTTCATGACTAAAATTGTAGAGCTTACATTGAACCAATACAAATCCAAGTTACTTGCCATCAGATATTTTATACTTGATATAACACAATAGTTCTTTTATTTAGTTTTAAGAAACTAAATTTTAAAATATGTTTTAGATAAAAGACTTATGATCTATGACTGTCTTATCCTAAATAATGTTGTTTTATTTTTAGTATATTCTAACTCTCAGAAAAAGCCCCCTATGTTTTACTTTTACTCTGTGGCACAGGTGTGGCGAAAAGTACAAACAAGTTAGAATTTCTGGTCACTGAACAGGCAGGAGGACATTTATGTTTGAGTCCATCAAATAATTGAAGTATCTGTGAATTGTTCTGTCCACAGACTTATGTGAGGACCCAGATATAAAGCAGCGGATATTAGACATGAAGGATGAAATAGAAACGAACAAAGCCAGTCGGCACCGGCCTGGCTCATCCCGGAAACACAAGCACAACTCTCGAAAGTAAGTCAACGCCTTGTACATTTTTTTGTTTGTTCTCCCAATGCTTGTATTTAAAACCTTGCTGATTTTGGTTTTAGCTTTTTAAGTTCTGAATAGATCCAGGCAGCTTTTTAGCTGTATGTGGATGTGGCAGTCTCCTTTTATGCTACATGTGTCATATTTTGTTTTTACCCCAGCCAGAGGTGCATTTTTGAATTAGGATGAACTGGAGTTGTAAACTAGACAAACCAGATCGTGATTCATTTGCTCCATGTCTAGCATTTTGTTTGTTTCTTTTTTATCTGCTGTTGTTTAGAAATACTCGTATGTTTATGTGTGCTGTTTGTGAATGTGTGCTGTTTGTGAATGTGTGCCGTGCATGTTATCCTGAAAGCCTTCAGAGTCTCATAGTAGGTTACCATCCACTCTATGTTTGATGCAAATTGCAGTTCAGTGGATGGGCAGCCTTGTTGTGCATTGAGCTGTATGCCTAGCAGAATGTTCACTATGAAATAAGTTAATGACAGATCTGTATTGTCCCAGTATTACTGGCTGCTCCATGTCAGTGCATGGCATTAGATTTTCAGATACATTGAACTTTGTTCATGGAACTAATTTTACAAAGTCTTTCGTTGATTCACAATTTGCAAACTCATTTAAAGATTGGAATGCAGATACATGTTTTTTTGTGTTTTGTTTTGGGACCTAAAACGATTTGTGGTGGTCTCTGGATCTGTTGCTCCTGGCCTGGTCTGTGTCTTCTATGTGTGTGGCGTTGAGAGCTGTTTCATGTGCACTCTGGAACTATCGTTTAGCCAGTGTGCACTCTGGAACTATCGTTTAGCCAGACAAAATCTTAAGTTGTGTGCCTTTGAGTCTTTGTCCTGAAACCCTGTTGTGGTTGCAAATGTCCTTTCCCTTTGTCATCTTGCTCCTTTTCTTGCCTTCTGATCGAGAGTACAGTTTTGAGACTTGTGTGGAAATTGACTACTGTTCAGAGCATTGATTTCAACTTTAGAGAGTGTGGGCTGTCATTTTTGTGTTATGTATTTGTGCATGTCTTTCTCTCTCTGTCAATTGGTCTGTGGTTATTATTCCTGAATATGATGACGTTCAAGCCATCGTTTTATCACTGACGGATGACTTCTGGTTTGATAATCAATCATAATGATCCTACCATTAACTTGCTTTTGTAGGTTATTTTTTCCAGCATTCTTTTAACATGGGCTGACAAGTCCAGCTTCTAACTTCTTTTAGCACTGGAGATTTTGTAATTTTGCAAAATTGTTTCTATTTTATTTGCAATCTTTGAAAAACACCGTAGTTTCTTGGGAGATCAGTTTGTAAAAAAAATTAGGCCATTTTTTTTCTCCCATGAAAGTCCTCCACAACAGAAGGGTTGGGGATAGGGGGTTGACATGTTCTGTAACATGAATTGGTACTTTTGACTTGGACAAAGTCGGCTTAGTTTCTGTCATTCCCTCATAGACGCTAGAACTTTATTGCACGTGGAAGTTCTTGGACTCCACACCAGTCCCACCTCTGGCACTGATACATTCTGTCACCTGACATTGCCTCCAAATTTCTCTCTGCGTCTGTAGAATCTTCCATGCTTTGCTTTATACTTTTTAACTTTCCTTCTTTAACTATTGTAGCAAAATAGACTCAACAGTGGCCAAACTCTCTGGTCCTTTGCTTTTCTCTTTAACAATTCTCTTGTCTGCAAAAGTAAAGGTCCTTATGCAGCAAAAATATTCTGGTCTACCGCATAGTCTCAAGTAGCAAGAGATAGCAAGTGGAAAAAGGTCTTGAGGAACACAAGGTTTTTTTTGGTGCTATACTGATATAGACTCAGAGGTGAAAAAAACATGCCAGAGAATTTGCTAATAAGTCAGTAATTCTTATGAGGCTTTTTACCTTCTGAGACTCTCTGTCAGTCATTCTTTCGTTGAGCCTTTTTAAAAATTGCCTTTTGCATTTTATTTTTTTGAATGATTGGCCTACTGGGTTAGAATTTTTTTGGTTCTAAAGGCCTCCCTTGAGCAACAGTTTATATTTTCATTTCCTAGTAATGTGAAAAAAATCGTCCTGTCATTTTCTTAGTCAAAGGACTTTAAAAAGTTGTATAGGGTTGTTTAGGATCTTTTCATATGGTGGGAAACCACGAGGCCTTAGCAAGAAATTTCTGTCGCACTTCAGATGCAGCAGATGTTCATCACATTTCAAGTCTGGCTTCAAGTTTTAAAAAATATGATATGGGTTTTATGCGGGATGTTAAAAGACAAATGTGCATGGAATGGATAACTGTTTATACTACTTTTTTGTCTGGACTGTTTGATTGTTTTGTTTGAAGTTTAAAAAAAATTTGACTCCGATTCCAGTTTACTTATTGAACCTCAGAACATTTGAATATAACAAATGGTTTGTATAATGGAAGAGTAAGCAACTTTCGTTTCTTGGTTTTTTTTCAGCCCAGTTTATGAGATTTTGTCATTGTTTTGAAAGTTGACATTTTCAAATGGTGTGTGATTTTTTTAGTGTGTGTGGGTATGTTTTGATGTTTTTGTTTGTACGTGGGTATATCATTTGTACTTGGAAGTGTTTGATGTGAATGTTTAATGCATGTTTATTTGTTTGGTCTGTGTGTGTGTGTGTGTGTGTGTGTGTGTGTGTGTGTGTGTGTGTGTGTGTGAAAGAGAGAGAAAAAGAAAGAGAAAAAGAAAGAGAGAGAGAGAGCGAGAGTGAGGGAGAGAGAGAGAGACAAAGAGAGAGAGAGACAAAGAGAGAGAGAGACAAAGAGAGAGACAGAAGGCACACGACTGAGAGAGACAGAGAGAAAGAGAGTTGAGAGAAAGGGAGATAGAGAGAGGAAGCAGACAGCAGTAAGCCTGACATAGGGTCCCTCTGTTTCTTGTTTCAGCCTCGCCCCTTCCCACGTGGATTCCATGTATAGCTCAAACACATCTCTCAACTCTAAACCTAGCGGCAGGTTGGGCCTCCCTCCCTTCAGCCTCCTCCCCTCCCCTCTCCCTTCTCCCAGCCCAGTCCCTCATTGTTATCACATTTCACTCACTCATCTAGAGATGTCAGCTCAGTCCTTTGCCCACAGTGTCATGTTTAGAGATGAGTGTGGTAGGCTAGATTACCTTATCTGCTGGTGAAGTTTGAAAGTTATGGAAACTCGTGACTTTCCAAGTTTAATTGGCTGCTCACTGAAAAATTGGAATTTTTGTCTGGGAACTGCAAAATGACTAGACTTCTTACAACTGTATAAGTAAAAGGGATCTTCACCAAGACCTGAGGAATTTTTAACAAAGAAATATTGTTGGGTTGTTATGGAAAGTGGAAGAGAAAAAAAAGGGGGGTGGATGGGGTAATCTCTACCGAAACTGAGGATTTTTTAGCACAGAAATATCGGATTGCTATGAAAAGAGGTATGGGAAAAAAAGGAGTGAGGGGATGGTAGGGGGCTCATTTTTGCCAGTTATGTAGATAAAGCGGTTTGGTCAGTGAGTGTTAAGAATGTTTGGTTTCAATTGCACTGTCCCGTATGGGGCTCAAAGACAAGAGTTATCGTGACTGTGGGCAGAAGTTGTCCGAGCTGACATCTGGCCTCTCTAACAAGGACTGCTCTTGCAATGAGATGTAATCTGTGGTACTTTCACTTTCCTGCACCCTAAGTGCTGAGTCACAGGCCATCGTTTGAATTGCGTCTCATTCTTCTGGCAGGTTGATCATTCTTCCTATATCTTGGACATACTGTGGCATGAACTTTCTTCTGAGAAATGATAAAGCACCTCATTAAAAAGTCATAACTTAGTATATGTTTTAGGTCTAATGTTTTAGTTTTGAAAAAAGAAATTTTCAGTAACTATTAATTTGTATGCCGCGAGTTCCTTGATTTAAACTAAATTTTCGAGGTTTTCAAAGGGAGCCTTGCATTGTTAAGAAGCGTCTATTACCCGCTTAAAAATTTCCTGTTCAGTACTGGTCTCATTGCCATGATCAACCTGTAGTTCCTGCTTCATATCCATGTGTTCATACATAACCAACTTGTCAAAAACATTTACTCAATTTCAATTTTTTTTTTTCCTGTTTAATTGTTGTTTTGCTTTCACTTACTAACATTTGTGTGTCTTCTGTGTCATGGAATTTACAGGGCCCAGGTCAGGGATTGAATTGAATAATGAGGCATAGACGTTTGTCTCCTTTCTTCCCCCCACATCATCATTCAGTGTTACGACAATTTCTTTCACAGAGTTCAGAATGACAGGATTCACGCCAAATTTTTCCTTGTGTTGACATCAATGTCTTGTTGATGAGCAATAATAGTGCGAGACTTTAGGCTTCATGCCGCGTTAGTAATTGAAATAAATGGATTCCGTTCTTAAGTGTTTAAGAGTCTTTTTGCAGTAAATATTTATCTTATGATTCTGTGATGCAAAGATGACTAACATTCCTCATTGTCTCAAATTCTTACAATTGTTGTGATGCCTACGACACTGTGTGCTCTATTTCTCTCCATTAACTCATGTCTCTAGTCTGTACATAACTGCATGAAGCATGCTCCATTCAGCATGGTATCTCTCTATGATAGATGCTATGATGATCTTAACTTTGTGAGGTTTCTCATAACCAAGTTTTATAGAATGTTTCCAGATTTTATACAGTGTATGGAAATGGGATTAGATTTGTTTTGTTTACCCAGAAATCCTTGAGTTCAAACTTTTCTACCCTACGCAATGTTGTAGAAGGTGGAAGCTTTATCAGCTCTTCCCTGTTTCAGAGTAAAGTGTTATCAAGGCTGGGATGTTGAGATGAGATAATGTATGCAGGAGTGGATGGGGTATCAGAAAGGAATGTTCTGGAACTAATGTTACAATGCTTGATTGTGTGGCTTGTCATAACCTTTTTTTCTTGATGTCTGTTGTAAAGTTGTATGTTCTTTGGATTTTTCAAAAACGTTTTATGTCTTCGTTGAAGTGTTTTGAAAATCACTTGACTGACAAAAAAAAAAAATCACGTTTGCAGCAAGTGTGTCTTTGGTGTAGTGTGGTGGGATAATGTTTAGAGGATTGGTCTATCCTGCGAGAATTCTGTCAAAGCTGTGGTATATGTTGCAGGAAGCGGCATGAGTAAGGGTTTTGTTGGTTTAAACGGGTGGCTGGCGGGAGGCTTTGGTAGGTCCAACCTTTTCTCTATCTGTTATTTTTGTCCCTGCACTAGATGACATAACTGTTTTGTTATGCTTCTCTCTTTCTCTCTCTCTCTCTCAAGATGTTGTTTATAGCCACTCTGGTGTAGTCTGTTCCTCCTTCCACTTCTTTCCAGTTTTACTATTGCCTAAATATGCTCTTGGTATGTGGGCTTTGTTGTGCCGACTTGCTGTTCTTTACCTCAGAAGAAAGTCTAATGTTCTTAGTTGGTCGTTGACCATTGCTGGTGATGTCTTGCTGATAGGCACGTAGATGTGTTTTCTATGAAAATGTCTGAATACTAAGCCGAGATGAGCAGAAAGTGAGTAGTTGGGGGTGTTCTGGTGTGGTTTGCTCCTTCTTTCTTATCAAACATCTATTCCTTATCTCTCTCCCCCTTTTTTTCTTTGTACCCGGTATGTTACTCTCTAGTAACACCTTTCATGTTTGGCTCTTATATGACCTATTTGTGCTGCAAGTGCTCTAAAACTTTCACTAAACCTAAACTGAACAAGTAGAGCATGGATGGCGATATGGTAGAGTCTCTGACATCTTGCTCATGTAGGAGCAGTGTCCACTACTGCGTGTAGGTTGTGTTGAGTTGTGTGTCTTCTAGCTGGCTGGGTACAGCTTTAGGATTAAGACCCGGCTTCCTGAGGGAGTACACCGCAGTTTCTGTGTTACATCTTACCTGACAACCTTCACGTTCTACAGTTTCACTCAAATTCAGTATTGAGTACTAATCTTTTTCAAATATGACTATTTCATAATGTAATTTAGATATGGTTAAAATTATATACATTCTTTATTGTGGTCTCCGAACTTTCATAGATAGGTTGAAATGGGTGCTGCGAATGAACTAGTGATTGAAAACCTCTATGAAAGAAATAGGCTCGAACCTAAAGTTTATCATGAAAGAATGGAGAGGAAGAAGGTGTCCTGTTGTTGATGTGTCTTATACCCTCCTACAGAACCCTGCTGGATATCCTGCTGCTATGTTATTAATCTTTTTTTTTTGTGGGGGGGGGGGGGGGGGGGGGGGATTCAGTTATGAACTTCCCCTATTTGCCTTATTTCAGTGTTGCTATTGTTGTAATCTGCTTCACTGCAAAAAGTTTTGCCACGATTGGGATGACTCACTGTATGTCATTGTTACTTCTGGGGTAAAAATCTCAGCATTGTGTAGACACTCATTCGGATCAACTGGCCCTGAAGCATCGGTACTCAGTGTGTTCATTTACACAGCTTGATATGTGAGGGTAGATTGAGGATACCTTCAGTAGATCCAATTTCTCAACTATTTCTCTGTTCCTTCTATCTGTCTGTCTGTCTTTTTATTTATTTTTTGCTGAAACTTATTGACTGTTGTAATGTCTATGTACTTCTTTATTTTAAGTCTTAAACAGTTAAATATATTTTTCTTCTTAATTCTGACAAATCCCATTTTCCATTTTCTCCCCTCCCTCCCTGGTTCAGCTTTTACATGGTCCCAAGGTATTTGCGCTTCGTCTTGTTTCTGTAGTCTTCTGCTCTTTGACAAGATGCACTGTATTTTGTTGAATGTGGTCTGTCGCGCTGTTTGTGTATCCCAGTTGGTGGGCTGTGTGTGGGTGTGCACACTTGCGTAATCGGCATGCATGAAGCGCTTCCATGTGCTGTAACTGCGCTGTGCCCTGTGTAGACTTCTGTGTGTGTAACTGCGCTGTGCCCTGTGTAGACTTCTGTGTGTTAGAATGTTCGAATAGAGGAGTGTGGCTGTGGGGTCTTGATGTGTTTATGTTGGTCGGTGAACTCAACAATATACAAAGGTGTGCGTATTTTGTGTTGCTTCATACATTCTTACACGTCATCGCAGGATTTCTGCCAGACTTGTTCATATATTCACTTTGACAGGGATCAATGTTACCTGTTTACACAATCAAAATGATTTATGGTGTCAACAGTTTTCTATTTGATCTACCAATACCTTCTGTTCTTCGCATGCCCCACTTCAATTTTGCTCTATTTTTATCAATTTCAATCATTCTCTGCTTGACTTCTTTCTGTAAAATACATTTTGAAAGGAACGTTTTTACTTATGGAATTTGTTTTATAATCAAACTTATTTTTGAAAATTGTGTATCAAACTTTGTTGTACTTTGTTTTTGTCTTTTTTACTTTTTTAGTTTGGCTAATATGGCAGTCGTAAGTCAATGATGATGAAAGATAAATTTGAACATTCTTACAAAAGTGTACTCATAAAAACAGTTAATGACAGTGAAAGGATATGACTTTTCCTTGGAAAGCTTTTCTAGCAGATTCAGACCTTAACTTTTCAGTTATGTTTGTCAAAAATGAAAGGTGGACGAAAATAGCATTAAATATGCATGTGCACGCTTTTATGTGAGCTGTTACCAGGCTGCAGTAAGTTGCAAGGGTGTGGTGTGTCAATTGCCTTGTACGTTAATTTTTCTTGACGATGATTTGCTTATTGATAGAGTTGATGACACTCCTATAGAGAGAATTAGGTTTTGTACGGTGTTGCAATCATGAATGTCCAATTTCCTTGTTTTCACTTTCCAGTAAAAAGGACACCTTCACTGGGTATGCACTGACAGCCTGACATAATGTCTTTCATAAGCTGCTGCAATATCGCTGCTGAAAAATGTTTTTGCTTTTTCCACTCATATTTTTCTTTTTTTGGGCTAAAGTCTCATGGGAGTTTTTCTTAATAACGGAAGTGATTACCAAAGCTGGGAGATATCAGAGGGAAAATATCTTTCTACATCATTTGTACAATGGTCATTGCATCTTGCTGTTACAATTCTGGAATGTTAAGGCGCTGGAACTTTTCTCTTGACAAAAGAAAAAGGAGTTGGCTGTTCGTTTTGCTATCAGCTTGGTCTCTGGGTTGCGCTCTCTTCATTATATTACACTATATTGTTTGCCTCTTCCTACTACACTTTCGGATCTATGAATACTTTTGCAATGGTGTTATGGCATAAGTGTTATTATAAAATAGAATGTTTTCTATTATTCTCTGAGTAACCACGTGTCGTTTCACTGACTATGCAGAACTGAACAGATTAGGTCATAATCGTCAGGATCCAAAGAGTTCTAGGAGAGAAAATGGAAATTACACCAGTCTACGTACTGTTAGTAGGAAAATTGAATTTTGAAAGATAATTTAATGTTTCTGAGCTTTCAAAATGGTCTATTTGTCTTGCTGGAGATCAAAATAATGTAAAGATAGAAATTAAATGTTACTTTCCTCTTGAGCTTCTTGAGCTCCGCTTTAAAAAAAGATGATGTCAGTGTTACTCCTCCAAAGCCTACATTTACAGGCAATTCATCAGCTTTCTTAAATTCTGAGATCAACACCTTGGAATGCGGCTTATATGGCTGGGCATTCTTCAAATTACTCAGTATCTCAGTATGCTATCAATATGCGTATGTTGCAAATTATACTGGAGAAGTGACTAGCCATCCGTAAAAGGAATTTAAGTTAAGAATTGAAGGGGTTTGAACAATTTCTTTGAAAGTATTCCATTATTTTTAAAACACAGCCTTTTCTGAATTTAAAAATAAATTGAAGTGATTAATCTTTGTTCAAAATGTCATCTTGTTCTTCCTGTGACTGACTTTTGAACCTATCAGTTTGTTCTTCTGTACCATCTCAATAATTTCTGCTTAGCATGACCAGTTCAAGCAACAACCCACAAATGTTCTTGAAAAACAGCTGTTGTGTTGTGATTCTTCTTAGCTGATTGTAACTTTAAAATTGATTGTAGCATTTACCGTGTGAAGTGAGTTTCCCTCTCATAAAAACATATTATGTTAATCGAAGTAGAATTTAGTGAATGACTGAACGTGCTTTTGGTGAGTCTTCTCTAACTTTTTTCTAAGAAGGACAATATTTCCCAACACTGTCCTCAGTTTGTGATAATGGCAACTGAAGAGTTCAAGAGATGTATTGAAAAAGTATCGTCTTCTCCTGACTACATGTTAGAATGTCTGTAAAAAAACCCAAACCATCTAGCTTTTTCTGTAGTTCATCAGGTCTGATTTGGCTCTCTTCGAGTTATCTCTATGTTTCATTGACTGTAGTTAAGTAGACAAATTCATGTGACAATCTGGAAAGTAGAATTGACAGAATAAGTAAATCTGAGTAAAAATCTTTGATGTCGTCAGTAATGCCCCCCTGTGAAGTTTCAGATTATGCTTTTGAGAAAAGAAGATGTCTTTGTATGCTTAGTTCCAACATAGTGGAGAATATTGTTCGTTATGAAGTTGATGAAATTGTTTTTGCTGTGCTCTTAAAAATAATTGCTGTAAGATTTTGTGCCAAGTTATTAACTTCTGTTGTAACCAAAGTGATTTTCGAACCTAGTTTCCCCAGCTTTAATGGGAAAACAATGTTTTGAAGTTTATGACTGCATATTTTCTGGTTAAGAGTCAGAAGGCATTTAGCACAAAACAAAATACACGTATGCATACCTCATTAAAAAGTCTTGACTTGGAGGATGATTTGGTCAGTTTTGCACTGTGGATATTCAGCTTTTTTTGCTTTTCATGTTTTTATCTATCGAGTAGTTGATTTTGAAATAAGAAGCTGAAGAAAGCTACACATGTGACCCAGTCAGTCTGGACACATGTGACCCAGTCAGTCTGGAGTATAATGCAGATTTTTACAGCTAAGTTTGGTAAATATAACTAAAAAAAACTTAATACAATATCACCGCAGTTGTATCTTTGATCTAATTTCTGTTGAATGGCTATCTTTAACATTTGCCATGTCTTCTGTTAAAAAATAGAAATTCTTCACCAAAATTGTTTTTTCTCTCTACTGTCATGAGACTATTTTCCTACCATTCACCCAATGTGTGTATGACATTGAGTTATGGTTCGTGGGACCTCTTTTGTTGGAACCAACAGACAAGAAGCTTCAGGAACATTGCTACTTTATTAAAGAGTACAATATTTTAAAAATTTAGTAAATGCCTCTTTCAATTATTAGTGTATGTATTGATATGTAATATCAAATCTCTTCAACAGAACTATAATTGATGTATAACTCTCTTATCCGTCAAACTTTCGCTGCTAAATAGGATCTTTCTCTCGGTTTCTATTTATTGGTACTTTAAATAAAATTTGAGTTCTTTATGTGATAAATATTCTCACTGCTCACTTTGCCTCGCAGGTTTGGGAAAAAAAATTTATTATTTTACTGATCTTTTCTTTAATACCAATTGTCCTTTCGTCCCCAGTGCTTCAATGCGTCGCAGTTCCATACGGGGGGAGAAGAGCAGCTTGTTCAAGAAGGAAGCTCATGAGGAAGCTTTGCACTTTGGCCTACGCCTCATGCAAGATGAGGAGGAGCTGACGGTGAGGGAGGGAGGTGGTGGTGTGGAGGAATGGGGTGGGGTGTATATGCACTTGACAGCTGATAGGGGGGGGGTGGGGTGATCTTATAATGGGAAGGGGGGGGGGGAGTGGCTATTAGGGTGAGGGGGATGATGGTGGAAGGGAAATGTTAAAGTTGTCTTTGTATTGAGATTTTTTGTTGCAAATTTGAAATTTAATCATATAGTCTTTTACAGTTTCACATGTTTGCTATATTGCTTTACTCTGTAATAAGCTGTAAAACACAACCCACTCTCTTAGGCCTTTGATAAGTCCATAATATTTGGGTGTTGATTTTAATCGGAGTATTTAGCTTATAACAAATATTTGACTGAGATAATTTGAACGTTTGATTTGTTTTTTTGCCAGGAAATGGATGAAGAGAAGGAAAATCTTCCTGCCACGAACATAGATGATGTAACGTTATCATTTGAAGACCACATCCCATCAGACGCTCCAGTGTCATCGACTTTGTCTTCATCCTCATCACCTTCCCAAGCGGAGAACAGCAAGCTCTCCAGATCTGATCAAAACTCCTTACAGAGGCCAGAAGCTAACAACGTGGGCCGAGTGTCCACAGAGAGACTCCCCGGGGGGAACACTGTGTCAGACAGTGCGGGTGTTCCCGTGGTTCCCGTGGCCGCACCGAGGGGCATCACAAACCAAGGGAGAGCACCGCCGCCAGGTGCCGCTGGCTCCACCTTGAATGATCTGAAAAAGTTTCGCAGTGATTCAAAAGACGTTCCGGAGAAGGACCCGAGGAAGGATGCGGTGGACGCACAACTTCAGAGCATGTTCCTGGATAGTGTGCCCAGCAGCCGCCGCATGGGAAACAACTCTAACACCACCTCCACCTCCTCACTGCCGCCGCAGCAGCCACAGCTACACTTCTACCCTCCGCCCATGATGGAGAGGACCAAGAACGGCCACAACAACAACAACAACAATTCCACGTTAACGCCGGACGTGGGGGGCAGCACAACCACAACGACGGCCAACGCGAACGACGCCAACTCGCAGCACCTCAACTTTCGGGAGGGACAGCTACGCAGGTTTGTGGCTCCGCCCAGCGCACCGGTGGTTGGTTCTGATGAGGATGAAAAGCAGAATTGCTGTGTTATATTGTGATGGTGGGGCCGGTTGGTCACTGTCATCTTTTACATCAGCCCTTCTCTCGCCGGCTCTTGCCGCCACACAGTGTATATACATTGTCCGTTCACACAGTTTCACCCTCATAAAACCAGGTCAATGGGATACAGAAAATACCGTGATACAGTGAAGAAAAAAACAGCAGGTTGGGACTGAAGCATGGTTCAAGAAAATCGACATAGCAGTTGACATAGTGTTCATTCAGTATCGAGATACATTTATCTTAACACTCAATGGGTCCTACATTGTTTTAGTTTTTTTTTTAGCCTGTATTCTTTTTCTAGCAGATGTCTGTTAAATAAAAATTATTGAAATGAATTATTGTTGATGTGGCAGACATTTAATTTATAATTGGATAGTAGAGTGGGGAGATGGATGTTAATGATGTTTGGCCCATCATCTATCCCATCGTTACCAATGTAACTAGAGGAGAGTGTGAATGGAATGTACTCTCAGACCTGACTGTATGTCAGCAGAACCATTCATATAGGAGTGGATTGGACAGTGTTCTGTCATGTTTTGGCAGCTCTGCCAGACCTGTTCATGTCTTGAATGTCCGATGGCCCTGCTCACTATTTGTGCAAGTGTCTACTGCAATAGAAGTGTCTCTTCATGTGTGGAGGGGTTGGTCTTGTGGTCATTTTCAATGTCTTTTTCAATGTCACAAGTTTTAAAAAAGATAACTTCATTGACCTTGCTTGAGTCATGTAGCCTGGCAAAAAGAGAGGAAGTTCTGGAAGAGGATGATGTAAAAGTGCCCAGCTGGGAGCAACTTTTTAATAGAAATTTCATGCACTTGCAAGTGTTGGTTAATGAGTGATTATAGAATTATAGTTGTTTCTCCCTATGAAAATCCCCATCCCAAATATAGTTAATTTGAAAACATGACAAAATTTTCAGATGATTTCAGAATGTAATTTATTTCTCAGAACATGCCTTTTATTTTCACAGGCTGCAATACGTAACATAGGCATGAAAGATGAGTTATGGTCTGTGCGTAGTAATCTGTAATTTCAACGCGTGTCAGTGAAAAGGAAAAGATGTACAATACAATTTTAAGTATGATTAACACTTTTCTGATAATGCTGTATAGGATTACATTTCTTCATCTCATATGCCACTTAAATAGATAGTACACTTGTTTATGTATTGCAAGCTTTGTTGTCCTTGGAAACAAAATGGTTTTCTTTAGGACAAGGTGCTATGAGCAGACAAATTAGTTGTGTGCAGTTTGTAATGGTTTGAACGTCTACTTAATGAGTTCTGTCGGAGTAGTTTGGTCTAGAAATTCTCTTTATTTTTGTAGTTTATATGTGAGGCTTGTTATAAGCCCTGTGGGCAGTTTGGAAGTGATTGAATTTACCTCTGCAGTCTCGATAGACAGAGACCCAGTAAGAATGTTGAGTTCCAGAAACTTTTTGTGCTGTTTTGTTTGTATGTGAGAGACATAAAGGGGTGTGTTTTGTCATAGTTTAGATTTTTGATGACGTTGAGATTAAAAGAATCACTATTGGTTGGTATTGAAATGGTATGTTTTTGAAAGAGCCCACTGATTTTTGTGAACATCTCCTGTTGCTCAAATGTGTGTTCACACTGTATTCTGAAGTCCTTGTACTATGAAGGTGGTCACTTGTGTCCACCTCCTCCCCCTTTCCCCTCCCCCCTCACTTCCCCTTCCACTTTTCCTCCTTCTAGCCCCTATACTTGCATGTAAGGTTCCCCAAAGTTACAGACCCCATATTTATGATATAATCTTACCAGAGAACACGATGGAGTCCCCATCCAGTTCTCAAATATCTTTTTGTTTCTGCAAACTGCAGATGTGTCTGTGCTTTCGTAAGTATGTGGGAATGATGTCCCCAAGAGATCTGAGACTGTTGATGTAATTTTTTGCTTTTTGAAATGGGAAAGGGGAGAGGGGGGGGGGGGGATATGTCTGTTCCTTATTTGAGTTTGTTACTGGACAAATTGTTGGTTGTTGATCATTACATGGGGACCACCTCATCATGGGACTTAAGCATGAAGAGGTTTTATATACATATATACATATTTACATTTGAAAACACAAGGGTATCGGCCTCGAAGAATGTGATAACTGATTTTGATTTGAAGTTTCTGACAAAGACGGTTGATGAGCTTGTTTTCTCTAAAATGTCACTTTTATGTTTGATTGGCTTGTAATTTGAGAACGCAAGAGAACAGAAAGTTGACCAAGTTTTTATTTCAAGACATGATTTATTCCAATCTCTTTGCTGCCTCTCATATTCGGCCCTGTTGTTGGTATGTATGTTTACAAGAAGAGGTTGTAATAACAGTGAGGAGGACATTCCTATGCAGTTGCGGAGACTGCTGCTTTTTCCCTTTGTTGTGATGAGAATGTCCTATTTTTGTATGATTTTAATGCTCCACCGTGGGCGATTGGCAGGCTCTCTGTTGTGGTTTGCCTTATCGCCTTCTTTCCTACCAAACATTTGTCGTCTTAATCTCTCTTCCTTCTTTTCTTTGTATCTTGTTTCTTTCTAGTAACACCTCTAATCTTGGGTACTTAAATGACCTGTTCGTGTTGCAAGTGTTATAAAACTCTTAACAAAACTAAAAAACCCCAACTAAACTTGTGCCCCACTAGACACTCAATGTCATTTGGAAGGCAGGCACAGCATTGTGGGGGCTTCTGGGATGTGTCTTGGTTTTTTTTCTTCTTAAACCGTACCCTTCTCTCAACAGAGTGGTTTGAAAGTTGTCTGTCATGAGTAATAAGTAAATACAAAAGCAAGCTGCCGCTCCTACACAAGGTAGTGGCCCCGTGTTGACAGGGAAGTTGATGCCCTTGTTGGTGGGATGCTACACTATTCATCCCCCACCTTGCCTTCTCCCTTGTGTGACTGCCAGTTTATATAAAAGTTACATACAACATTTGGTATGTTGTATTATTGAGGTTTGTCTCAGATTGATAACCAGAAACATCCTATATAATATTTAATTGACACAAAAAGTTATAAACTGTGCACTTATAAAGGTTGGAAGATTTGATGTACATACATCAGCCATGACGAAGTCTGCCCTTCTGATTTATTTCCCGAGTAACAAACTAAGTTTCTTTTAATCTGTCTAAAAGTTAAATTATTGATTCCGGACAGATTTCTGTCTGTTCCCATTTTTTAATCATAGACTAATCTAATTAGGGAATTGTTTGGTGTTTGTCAACCATACCTGTTAAACCACCTGCACTTTTTTTTTAAAAAGCTGCTGTAATGAATGGAGCCAAAGACTCGAAACCAGATTGACAATTTTGTTTTCCAGAACTGGACCATATTGATTAAGTGGTTATATGTAAACAAGAGAGAGGTTGTTTCTTTTTGTAGTCTGAATTTATGGAATATCTATAATATTCTGCATGAGTAAGAGGAAGGTCACGCAAGTTGTATTGAATGTTGCAGAGATCTTATGACTTGTGTGTGCGTGTGTGTGCATGTGTGTGTATGTATGTGTGGTTTGGTCCTTTAGTAGTACACATAGGGTGTGTAGACAGTGTGAATTTGTCGAGGTAAAAAAGGTTCTACCTGTGTGTGGTGAAGTGGGGTCATTCATTGTTATCATTTAACTGAGACATGGTTGGTCTCTGTGAATTTTGAGTTTGAAAGGAATTATGGTTGGGCGCTCAAAAAGTCACATCTTGTGCACACTGTACAGGCAAGGAGAATCAACATATAATATTCATAATATTAATTTGTCAGCAATGTTTTTAATGTTGTCAAGAGTGTTTTACGATTTCTCAAAACACAACATTTCATTGATGCTGTCACTGTGTACATACAAACGATGACTCGATAAAAGAGTAAGTAATGAACTGTTGGTTATTTTAACTTTTTTTTATATATTGATATTTGTATAACATTGATGTTGGCATTGCTGTCAGCGGTCAGTTCTTCATCTTGTGTACCATAATGTCTTGTTGCCTATATGCTATCCTGTTGTACTTGCAAGCTGGACCTGGACCTCCCATTGGAAAAAAACGTTACTATTTATAGAGGTTGTAATCAGTGTACATACTGTAGAGACATTGTTGTCTACGGCCCTTCCTTAGTAGAGCTGGCCAAAAATGGAGATAGTTTTCATTGATGCAATGTCATATTCTGTTTTGACCTTCAATGCAATGTCACATTTTCTATTGTCATTTAATGTGTGTGTGTGTTTGATCACAACAAGCCTATCTGTCTATGATCACTGATCTGATGGTTGTAAACCCCCCCTCCCCCAATCCCCTGCTACCACACCCCCAACCACACCACCACATTGGGGTGTCTGTGCTGTAAGTGTAAATAACTGGCCCTGACTGACCAGTGGTTCTGTGATTCTGTCTGCGGTGTTCCTTCTAGAGCATGCTGCCTCCTGTTCTCTTCCTCATCACAAGTCAGCCGCTCAGTGGAAGACTCTGTCGTACTTGACTTTTCCAAATGGTGTATGGCGGAGTGTTGCACTAAGCAGTCGAAATGCTCTGTGCCAGTATTCCCTGCTGCTTTCAATTTCTCATGTGCTGTGTGTACATTTGTTTTTTGTTTGTTTTTTTTGTTTTTGTTGTTAATCTAACATGTAAAGAATGAATGTATTCCCAAGAAGCAGACCTTGTTTATTTTTATACTATTTTTCATAAAAAGTGCAAAAAATATTTCATGTTAGTGTTAGCCTAAGAACAAACTCAGAAGATGGAGGTAGTGGCAGAAAGAAATGTTGATCTGCTTATGCTTTAAATGTGGACTTTTTTAATTTGCCATGAAATATGGGGCTAAATGACAGTATTTTGGTGTCATGTGCACACTAAATGTAAAGAAACCAGATTGCACAAAACAGGTTGAGTTAAGCCACTTAAAATAGCTCAAAATCAAGACTTTCAAGTGAAACACATGTGAGCTTACCTGTATCTGTGTTCTCATTATTTCCAGAATATGTACAAATATATGAACGCATGATGGCTCCTGATTGGTATTGAGGACTGGCAGATCGATTTTGGAAATAGTTTTAACACACACACACAAAAAGACATTTCTTCCAGTAATAAGGTTTGAGTATAACACCATAGATATTTTAACCGTAAATCTTTGTTAAACACTTAAACTCAGACCTGCTCCTTTACCTTGGAACGCAGGTTTTGTGTTGCAAGTTCTGCTTACAGCCACTGAAATACAGGGCTATGGGTACCATGAAAGGTGGGTAAAGTCAACAGTTCATGTTTGTTAAACCAAGCCAAGTGAGATACTCAAAAGCAACAAATTCTAGCCTGGGCACTCAGCAGAAACAAATCAACCCTTAAGTGACCATGAGCAAGGATTCAAGTAATTTGGCCAGCGATTTAGATTCTTCCAAAGTTGACAAATTGAAAACATTTGATTTGTCAACACTTGAGGAGTTTTATTCAGTCCGCTTTTCTCAAGAGAAGTCTTCTTCTTCTTCTTCTTCTCGATCTTCTTCTTCTTCTCGATCTTCTTCTTCTTCTCGATCTTCTTCTTCTTCTCGATCGCATCACACTTGAAGTCTGGTATCTGTCATAAATTGGGCCGTCCTGCTCAGCTCATCAGTCGTCAAGAGAAGTGTTATGAGCCATAAACAGAGCGTAGAGTACTGATATTTTGGAAGGGATATATTCAGTTAGATTATATTATCATTAACAGTTCATGACTGCTTTGTTTCAAGCTTTTACTTTGATTTTTACTTTGCCATACATGCACTGTGCCACCACACTTTTTACATGCATGCATTATGTAGGCATAAATGAAGTATTGGCTCTCCTTTCCAGAAAACACTTTTGCTCACACCCTTCCTCAAACACACTTACACTCACACTCACATCATGTGCTGATTGTACTGTAAGCATTGGAAAGTCAATGAGTTTGTATTGCACTGCAGCAAGGTCGAAATTCAGAACAAAGAGACAATTTTTTTGTAGTTTAATTTCCTAAAATAAAACATGAGACGCATGTTCTTTTGTCATATCCTACCCATAATTTGGGGCATTCTACCAATGAGAATTATGTGCATAATCTCTTTCTTAGCAAGGGTAAGGAAGCATTCTGTCTCTTCAGTGCAAATATTCATTGCTCAAAACGTCAAGAGCTGCCTCTGGTTTACAGAGGGATTGATATGGTTATAATAACCTTATTGTTTAACATCACAGAGTTGCGTGAACTTACACTGTCACTGAATTTCACCCCGAAACAACTTGCAACAAATACTGTGTCTGTCTGTTTCTTTGTCCCTCTGAACAATTTGTTTGTTGAAGCTATATTTTTCTGACGTCAGATTTTATGTGTGAAAATAATTCTTTGAATATTCATTGAAGTGTCATCAAGCTAGCTGTAACTGTATGATTTTTGAAGCATTAAATATTAGCCTTAAAAATACAGTTATTTATCTAGTTGCTTATTTTCAGCATTTAGTAAAAATTCAGCCAGACAACACTTTCCTTACTTTCAGGCTGCACTGATCCTAATGTGTATCTAACCTCTATCTTTTTTCAAGAGAATTTGAAAGTAGTAGATTAGAAATATGTTCAAATAAGAGAATGGTATAGTAACATTATTAAAATTTCTTCGACATTTACATCTGTTAGGTCTCTGATAATAGTTTTGTGAACTTTTTCTGTTGGTTTCGTTGAATCTTTCAAAATATTCTGTTACGAAAAAACAAGATATATATATATATATATAATTATATCTAATATATATAGTTATAACACTATGAAATCTAAACTGTGGCAGCTTCTATGTCAGTTCTTCATGGCAACTAAGGAGAAAAGAGGCATTGTGATGGCAACTGGTATGAAAATATTTTTTTCTGCAAATCAGCTTGCATAGGCTTGCCGATTTTGCTTTTTCCAAGCGGTGGAGAGGGCTTTAAAGTTTATCATAGGCTGGTTGAAGGTGCCTCTACCTTGTTTCTGTTTGTTTGTCATTCTTATTTCCAGCCCTTATGACTTATTCAACGTACTGTGAGGATGTATATCTACTTTTCTTTCATTTACTCACATTGAAGTTCATGAAGAGCATGAGTTTATGATTAGTTTATGTCAAGTGCTTTGTACTGTAAATGATCATATCCTGTGTTAATAATGTATGAAGATATTTAGCTCCATGGGTCTTCTCATTATCTGGTTCCTCTTTGTTTCATATTTTTGTAATTTTGTGTTCCAGTGTTCGGAGGGATCTCTATGGCGTTAGCACATTTTTGCTCCTGAAAAAGTGCATATTTTTATATACACATTAATATTTATAATGCCTCCTTCAAACAGTATAGCAATTAAGTTATTTATGCCAAAGGGTGACCTGTTTTAGGCTATATGTAGCCCAATTAAGCACTTCCATGATATAGGCTATATGTAACTCAAATAAGCCAACACTCCCAGCTTAAGCTTATTTGTGTTACACGGAGCATTGATAATCAAACACTCCCGCTAAAAGCTTATTTGGGCTACCCTAGCCCACATAGCCAAACATCCTTCCTCTCTGAACCTGGAAAGCTGAAAGGTTGCAACTCTCTAATCTGTAATCTAAATCTGGATCGAGTCTGTCTAAGCCTCTCTTGTCATTACTGTCTTTGAGCAGAATTTAGGCTAAGTGGACGCAGGATGCGGCAAAGTGAGCCAAGCAAAATGTCAACACATTACATAGAATCTACGTCCAAAGAATCACCCAGATTCTGTTTAACAGAATTTCACAGGCGTTCTTAAGTCTTGAGTTAAAAAATATTTGTTATAAGTGTAGTCTATTATTTATACATTGGCAGTGGTAGCGCCTGAACTGAAAGAAAAATATATTGAACCGTGAAAGCGAAGCTAACTCAATTCTAGAGGCCAATTACCGTTAGAAGGAACAGATAGCCCAGATACGGGGATGGGGGGAAGGGGTTGCTTAATTAGGCTATAATGTAGCCCGAATAAGCACTTCCTATGCCAAAAGGGATTAGAGGCACATTGTGATGTGAAATAGACTGTTGGTTTGCCCTGTACTATCAACTATTTTGTTATAAAGCTTTCTGTGTCCCATTCCTAGTTAATAGCTCCCTTATCATGTCTGCACATGGCTTTGAGGGAAGCGTAGTTTTGACATTTATACAGTTTTTGTTTGTTGCTATTATTTAACTGAAGTAACCGGATTCTAATAGTAGAAAGCATATATTTTAGCTTCTGTTTAAACAGCAAAGATTAACAAAGTTATTACTAAGCTTTATTTTTGGAGTAATTATAATTTTGGTTGAAAAGGGCACAGATATTTCATCAAGTATGCCAACAGTCAGCAGGGTATTGTAGAAAGAACACTGATTTGGATCCTTTTTATCAAAGACCCTAAAGGCAAATGACATCGAAGCCCCTAAAAGCAAAATAAGAATTCTTTGTTTGTCTTTGTTGTTAACGTAGCACTCATGAGGCGTACACTAGTCTGGTACGTGGAAGTGTTTTCAGAAGTTAGATCAGCTTTCATCATGGCTGTTGTTTTTACAGCGAGTGTATACAATTTCATACATCATACTTTTAACTCAGTCTTTATAGTTTTGTTTCAAGCAGGTAGATAACAGTTAATCACTTGTACTCGTGTAAGTTCCTAGTGTGTGTGTGTGTCACTTGGTCACATTTTCTCCCTTGTCAATATCAAATATCAGTCTGTGCACCAGGGAGTACTTATCTCAGTCTGTTGGTACGTGTGGGAACGTGTGAATGTTTGCCGGACAAGTGACCTGTTTTCTTGCTTATATCCCCACCTGCCTCTAGAATGGAACATTCCAGTTGTAAGCAACTATTATTATTAAAATGATTGACAACTTTACTCCTGTGTTAGTTTTCTTTTTCATGTCTCTTAGGTTTATCCTTTTGTGTTTGTGGCTCTCCATGTACTTGTCCAAGTCCTGTTGTTGATGAACAGTTAATTCGGAGGTCCTGCCTTTTACCTTAATTTTGAAAGGAACATTAAACTCATATCATGCGAAAGGGTAATTCTATCTTGATAAGTATTTTTTAATGTGTTTGGCAAATTGTAAGGGGTCCATACCATAACAATTTTTCCATCTACATGTTCGTGTTCAGAAAAAAGGAAATCTCTAAATACCAGATCTGTCCTGAATATATGCATTCATATTTCTTGGATTTCCTTTGAATTTTAAATTTGAAGTGTCCTCCAAGAGAAAGGTCAGAAAACATTCCTTCTGTCAGTTGGCTGTTCTAGTGCCACACTTTGACATGGCTTCCTTTTTTCATTTCCTTTCAAAAGCTTGAGGAAATTTGTGAAAAGCTTTACAGAAATTGTTAAGATCTAGTATGGCCAACACAAATGTGGTATGTAAGGAGAATACTCAGAATCTCATGGATAGAGAAGAGAAGAAAACAATTGGAGAAGTGTTCCAAATGGCAGGTCGAAAAAGATCTATATAAATTATAATGAAAACTGCCAGATAGAGACAATTTAGATAATTTGGCCACATAATAGATCAAATGGACTTGAGAAACTGCTGCTGTGTGGAAAGATAGCTGGACGGAAGAGCAGAGGATGACAACAAAATGCAGTTGACCTGAACGATTTAGAGACAAGATGAGAAAAATAGAGCTGATCAGGAAGACGGACAACAGGAAGGAGTGGGGTAGGGTAGGCCTACCATGATTGTCAATGTCTTCTCCAGACCTGACATGTGAAGAAAAATATCTCCAGTGCAGATTTTTAAAACCAATTAATTGAAAACACTTGCTTTCAAAACCATTAGTCTGGCGCTGAGAGTGCTAATACAACAAATATTAAGATCCAATTGGTCGCTTTTAAGGACAAGCGGACTAACCCAGATTTCGCGAGTTTCCAGAAATCTTGACCTACACCAAAAGTGGGCTTTGCCCTACCTGTAGGAGAAGTTTGGTTTCATTGGAGTGTATATTTGTTTGGTTATAGAGAAAACTATCTTTGTCTTTTATTTAAAGAAACTGAATAAGGTGCCAAAACTTTACCTTCGATTTTCTCAAAACAGCATTTTTCGGGACAGCCCCCTTGTGCTTAAAAATAAAAGCGAACAATAGTTTTTATCCTACCCGCACTGTTCTTCTCACCCTGGGCACCATGAGCTCAGTCGGTGTCATGTTGGGTCATGGGGAGTATGACCAAGGTTCAAACTCTCAAAAAGGCATTCTTAAACTTGTGTTGCCTCTCCAGCCTCTTGGCTCGGTTGTATCAGATATAGGTGTTAATTTAAAAATACCTATGCAGTGTTGAAAGGAGCATCAATGAAACCATACAATTGCCTATCAGCCAGGAGTGCTGTTGGAGAAATCTATAATCCATTAATCCATGTGGTGTCTTGAAAGACATTTTAGCTTTGACAACAACAACACAAACTGTAACACTACAGCTGATACACAATAGATTTGGTATACAGTATTTGTGAAAACCATTTCTTATAGACTTTAAAATTCTGTTTATTCTTCATAAAACCTTTAGTGTAAAAATAGAACATGAGAGAGAAGGAGACTAATTAGAGAGCATAAAAACACAACCGAGTCATATTTTGAAATCAGCTGCACGAAGTTGAAAGACAAATCACAGCAAATTTAAACAATAGCAGACAATGTGTAACCGTAACAATTTTCAAGCAATAAGTATTTTATGTATCAGTATTGCACACAAACAAATAAAAATGTGCCTACTACTATGTTTGAGAATTAAAATATTCAATAGAAGGCAAATCTTTAAAAATTTATCAGCACATTCCCTCTCCAACGCCTGCTTGTTGAATCTTCTTCAAGAAACAAAAAGGCAAGAAGACTGGTCGTACACAAGTTGCAGTATCTACAGATAAACTGTTAACAATCTCTTCAGCGACAACAGATTTAATAAGCATTTATTCTCAGTGGATTACGTTAAATGCTCCGCTGTGGTCTCCTTTCTTTCTTCATCAAGGACGCCACTGTCCTTTTCTGATACAGGCAAAAATGGGCCCTATTTGAGTAGGCTTCCCTTAACCACTTGGACACCTTATGACATACCTGGTACATCATGAAAATGCGTAATTTTTGGCAATTTTTCGTAGCATGGATGTCACAGAAGTTGGTAAAATTTGCAATTCTTGGTTGCTAATCAAGATGTTACATGTGTACGTCACACTAAGCATCAGTCTCTAATTCTTTTGTACAGAGATTTAGCCACAAGGACAGTGTGAATTTGTAATTCAGAATAAAAAATTGCATATATTGGTACCAAATTTGCCAGTATTGGGTTACTGCTGGGTTAAGCCTTGAAGACAAACACATGCTCTCGAAAAAGTAAACACCATAAGAAAAACTTTAAAAAGGCAGCCAATTTCACATTTTGACTCGGATTTGCAAGTTTTTTTTCTTTGAAAGTATTTGTAAGATCGGGAATTTAGGGAATGAGGAAAGTGAGACTATCAAAGACCTGCGGTCCGAATATAAAGGTCACAAGAGGGCTAGATAAAGACAGCGAGTCCACTAAGACATGAGACTGCTGCCTCGGCTAATGAGCTTAGTTGAAAATCAATGCTGACAGTAGAAACACACACACCCTGACAGCGAAGCGGTTAATCAAAACTCAACAAACAAGACCCAACTACTACCATCTTGTAGTGTTAGAGTAAAAGTAAAGGACACTTCTAGTTTCTAGTGACAGCATGAGACCCTACAAGACTCTAGAAGTAATAGCGACACTAACAACGTCATTGGCAAACACAATTGCCGAGCTTTTCTAAATTTACAGGGGAAATTATCACGGAGGAAATGGACAAACTGTATGAAAATACTAGCATTGCGACTTCATGTTCATGCAACGAAAATAAAATTCATGAAGTGTGACTTTCAAAATACATGACTATTCATAATGACACTGAAGACAACTTCAAAAAATGAATAGCTCACTCAAAACATAGAAAACAGTATCTTTTGCTTATTACATGCTGGCATCTTCTCTAGATATTGAAAATCTTAGCCAGAAAAAAACAACAACAACAAAAACTACTGCTAAGGCACAACTCCATCATTAAGGCTATGAGCAAACACGATGCTTAAAAAAATCAGTAAAAATCTATAAACACTTCTAAATACTCAACGAAATCTACATATATATAGTTTTCATCATAGAAATTTAATAAAACAAAAGCAAAATTTCCAAAACATCCCCTCAAAATTAGCTTGTCTTTCAAACAGCCTAACTAATGTGTACTTTTCAATTACAAAAAATTAGAAAATTTCACGCTTAACTCAACTAGGGCTTACGGGTTGGATGGGTGGGTGGAGGGACAGGGCGATAACATTTCCCTATTTCCCTCTCTCTTTCCCAAATGGCACACGTGTTATATTTCACAAATTTTTTAATCTGAGTAGTCAGTCATTTTTTTGGTGATCAATGAGAGCCCCTGTGTCACAGACACCACGGCACGCCTTCCAGACACGTGCATTATATATGTGGGCTCCTGCTGGGTCAGATCGGGTTCGGTGGGTGGTCAGCATGTATTTGTGTGTGTGTGGTGCGTGTTTCTCTGTGTGTGTGTGTGTGTGTGTGTGAGTGTGTGTGTGTGTGTGAGGTGCGTGTGTGTGGTATATATGTGTGTGTGTGTGGTGCGTGCGTGTGGTGAGCGTGTGTGTGTGTGTGTGTGTACGTGTGTGCATGTACGCATGCGTGCGTGTACGCATGCGTGCGTGTACGCATGCGTGCGTGTACGCGTGTGTGCGAGCGTGTTACAGGCACAGACATACATTCACTCAGTATAAACATGCTATGTCAAAAACCATAACGTCATAACAAACAAGGTAAAAAAATTGGTTTCCGCTGTCTACCAATATGGTAAATGTAACAGTTGAACACAAACAGTAGGTCTGTAAAAATCTTACATGACTTTCAACTTCCCGTTCACACAGTTATTCACTCACAAATTCCACTTCACTTATACACGCTTCCAGTTTCAAAATTGCCAAGGTGGATTTAAGTCCTCCATTACTCTGGATCAAGGGCATGCAGCCAGTGATCTTTGACCTGCTTACACGTCAGAGGCGTGCTGTGGTGACACCCGTCAAAGCCTCCTTGACGAGGCGTGTAGCGTGTAGGGCACAGCCCCAACCCAGAGTAATCCCGTGACCTCCGTGGCCGTAGTTGTGCACCACCTGTGGAGAGGCCACAAATTCCGTTATACGGAGGTGCTGGAACAGCTCTCTCTTTCCTTCTTGTATTGTAACGTTTATAGAATTATGACCCTCGCCCTGCAGCAAGTGAGTACTGTCAAAATCCATTGTTTTAAAACATTATAGAGTTACAATAAAAATGGTATAGAAAGTAACAGTTAACAGATCTCTCTACATGAATCTATAAAGGTGTCTTAAATTTCCGTTTCTTCAGCTTTTCTTTTATTATTTAATGGCATATTGAAATGAAAAGATTTTCCTTTTTCTCTCTTCTACATCTTCTAAAAACCCACTGAAACTCTTCGAAACTCATAAGATGCAAAGACTAAATTAATAAAAATAATAGTGATAGAGCAATACAAGTGGCTTTAAATCACTGAAAAACCAGACTGAGAAGAGAACTACTGTGTAAAGGGACATGAAAAAAAACTACACGGATGACTTACGGGTAGTTTCCTCCCCTGCTCTCCATCTACCAGTTCCAACTCCAGTCTCACACCATCTCGACCAGGCCTCAGACCTACCCACTCACTGATTATCGGAGCACCCTGAGAGGGAAACGCGAGGACACAGAATTGAAAAGCAAGTTTTGACAGGAAGAACTGAATGAATGGGACTACACAGAAATTCATAAAGCTTAAAGGCTAGGGCTAGAGCTATGGAAAGTGTGAAAGCTGCAAGTCTTATACATAGCAAAATTCATGCTATTTACTCCCACTCTGAGGGAGATGTGGACATGCCACAAGAACCTGAGTCATGTTTGGGCTGGACAAGGGCTCAACACTGGCATGTGGGAAATCCCAGAAATTTAGTTTTTGCCAAATTTCAACCCTTCAGAAACCATATTTATTTGAGCTCTGTGATAACAGTGTGATGCTCCAAATATGGCTTGCAGCTTACTAAGGATTAACCCACGAGGGGGGTGCTACTGAAAGGGTATAATGGTTGTCTGGGACAATATCTGGACCAGACAGATCCAAGATGAGCATTTCAATTCCAGTCCAGTCCGACCTTTGTTACGATGGCAGGCTGGGGTCTGTCAAGACCAATCTGAGCCTACCTAAAAATGAGCTGCTCACACAGTGGACATAAGAAGATCGGATCCAAAAATAAAAGGGTACACATGGGAAAACTATGGGCTCAGTACAGGCAAGATGTCAGCACAGCCATATAGCCTCAGGCAGAGCATGCAAATAAAAACTGTCTAGAACTACTATAAAAATTTGAATAATTACCTTATGTACCGTACCATGGTTCCTCTCATGTCTATCAACGCTACAAAGATGTCGTCCTCTTTGATTTTTAATGATCTTGACGACTCCAACTTGAACATATTTTGTGAGACAAAATTTTTAACATCAGAAAGTTTGGTCTTTGTAAAATGTGTCAGTAGAAATTATATGGGGTATGAATTAAGATTTTGAGGTGAAACTGACGCAACAGTTGTCATGAAAAAAAAAGACAAGAACATTTGCTTACAGTCAAAGAATCTCAATCCCATTCTAGTAACATCCCAGAATTCCGAGTAAAAAAGTAAAGTTGTTCCCGCATCCGATCCGGACATTGGGGATTGCCTTGTTTGTGAGACAACTTCCTGGGCCTTCGGCATATTGTGGTAGGGTGGCCAGTCCCTTTCCACGCTGCCTTTACTTCCCCAACTCAAAGTCAGGTACCCATTACTGCTGGGTGGGCAGGATGGGGCAAGAAAAATCTGTGTCCCAACCGGGGCTCAAACTCGGACAGTCCGCTTTGGAGACGATCGCACTAACCGCTCCGCCACCACACCCTTTATTCTGAGTAGATAGTTTAAATATTTGAAATGGTAACAATCCAACACGACATACACTTTAATCTTAAGTTACCACAAACTAAAATATTTGCACAAGACACTGAATGAGTTACACAATTTTCAAAACCAAAATAATCCCACTAGACAAAGTTTTTTCTCAATAAACAGTAACACTTGCATCACAACATCAGCTCACCTTCAGCTGAGGAAACAGCGCCAAGGCACGAGACAGGATATGCTCTCTCACATACGGGTACTTGGTCATGCTGCCATTGTCTTTGTCTTTTATACCTCCAATAATCAACTTGTCATCACTTGGAATTCGATGGACAGAAAAATGAGACTTGCATTATCATTAATTATCTTTTGTCTTTGAAAACCAAAGGGGATAACCTGAAATATTTCTTTAAGGGGATGACTGCCACTAGAAAATGGAAAATTCTTTGGACTTAAAATGAAAAAAAAATTTGAGAAAATGAATAAATGCCTACTTCTACTTTTCTTACCGTAACCTTGTTTTCAGGTGTGCAACCAGTGCTGTATGACTTTGTTCCTTACTGACTGTGAAACTACTTTTTCTACTTTGTTGAGACTGGAAAATCAATACTTGTAGGTAGAGATCACTACATGCATTACTGGTAAAAATAAATGACATTTGTCATTTTAAAACTAAAGTCCCTTTTTGAGATTTAACAGAAGCAGTCCCAAAGAAGCCATTGTAGTCTCTTTGTGGAGAAAAACAAAATTGTCAAAGTTGATGAAAGCAACTTGGGTAAATATTTTGGCGAATTCGTTTCACAATACTTAAATCATAAACTTCCCCACATTCTGATATTATTAAAGACATCAGATAATACTATGAGTGAGGAAAAGACCTCAAAAGTATCAATATGCCATTGAAACAACATCTTCATTTAAATCTAAACTTTTCCGTTTTCAATAGCTCAAAACCTGGCCACTGGATTTTCCTTCACTGTCAGCAATACTTTATTGAGTACAAATCAGGTAGAATGAATTCTAACGTCCAATCGAAATTATGCCACAGGGCTAGTCGAGCATTTGGACTTGAAGCAAAGTGAATCTGCTGTACTCAAATGAGGGTCTCACTCTAAGAAGTATCCCTTCAAGAAAAAAACAACTGAAATTTTGTTCATTTATAACTTAACTCTTTTTGTTTAAAAACTTGCTCAGAAGACAAAACTTTTTCCATGTTTCAAAACAGAATGTACACTATAGGTCGACTTTAACACATCAACAAGGAAAACCACTGTGACAAATTGAATCCTGTTTGCTTGTTCATTAGCTTGTTTGTTAGTGTTGAAGAGAAGCACATCAAAAGGATATGATAATTTTAATAAAACAAAAAGCTATAAACACATACAGAAATAACAGAGGAATCAAAAACAAGTTCGATCATCCAGTGGCACCCTCTATGATGGCTATCCATCTACTGTACTGTGTAATCGTTTAACCAATTGGTAGGAATAAAACCTCATGCAATTCGACATAAACAAAATCCTGTAGACTTTACATTTCCGATGCAGTGCACATCTTTTCGGTCTAAATTCTGTAGATAACACGTAGATGTAGGGTGGTGCTAAAGTTAAATGATGCTAAGACACTAGATTTGCCTTTGATTACTCACACTTTGAAAGCTCGGGGATTAAAAAAAAAACTTCACAAGAGAAACAAAGCAAAGAGACTTTGTAGGCACTAGCCAGATTTGAAACCCATCTGTCTGGCTCTTACAATATTATGGTTACAGACAATGTCAATGTGCTCTAAATGTTGAAACGAATTCTTGTTTTCAAATTTGGGCAATAAGATCATTCTTTACAGTGCAATGTCCTGGTGGATACAGTCAAGACAGTCTAAGACAGCCATCCAATGTCGGGGAGAAAAGTGGTTGGCTTAGAAAGGTGGATATCTTGAATGGACATTGTCATTACAATTAAACAAAAAAAAATTAAATATATAATCATTTTTAAAAACACAAGGGGGAAGTGGGAAGTGGTTGTTTGTACAGCTGACTGTCTTGGACAGGTGGCCGTTAGAGCTGGTTTGACTGTATTATATATTCATTATAATGCTTTATGTACATCAGAATTTGACAACATACTCACTGAGGAATCAAATAGATATCACCTTCACCATAGAAGAACTGCTTCTGCCATGGAGCCCGCACCTTGAGAAAGTAAAAAGACACAAAATCTTCACATACATTGTATTCATTACTTTAAAAAAAACTTTCACAGAAACAAAACAGCTACTGTCACTTATGCAATAATACGCAACGAGGCATCCCACAAAAATCAAGGGAGTGTTCAGTGGTGGTATCTCTGCTGCAAAGGAGTAGAGCTGAAGACTTATCCATGAGAGAGAAAATAAAAAGCGTAGCTTTAAAATAAATTTGAAGCTTACGCTCTGAGGTTGATGAACTGCATTTTATGCAGAGCCAGCATAATAACAGTCATATTTGGTCACGATTGAAGGTAAATGTTCAACCCCCCCCCCCCCCCCCCCCCACACACACACACACAAAATGTGAATCATAAAAGAGGCTAGCTGCTTCAACCCAGTCCATTTTGTAGAGGACCAGCTTGGGATAATAGCAATAGTGAAAAGAAGTACAAGAATTTGTGTTTCACTATGGAATTAATATAAAAATGACAACAAATGAGTATAAAAAATGAACGAGCACACTGAGGGAACACTGACCATGACAATATGACCCTTGATAGGGAAACACGACTTGTCATCAAGAAGCTCTTGAGCTCTTGGGCCACAGCAGTTGACCACAATGTCAAAAGAGCTGCTCAGCTGAAAGACATAGAGAGATTTATGCAAATGAAAAAGCAAGACTAAAAGACAAAATTCTTTTTTTTTTCTTAAAAAAAAAAAAATAGTAGAGGGTTTTACGGCGCTCGCAACTGCATAAGGTCATATGAGCGCCAAGGGGTGGGTGTCAACAGAGAAGTCTTTACAGGGAATCAGACTTAGACTGCTCACCTCTCTAGCTTCAACAGCACAAGGTCTGCTTCGACTATCAAGGCACCCCAAAATAGCAGGTCACAAGAGAGTGACAAACATACAAAAGAAGTAGAGGAAAATGACAATAGTAAGGATCAGGATAGAAAAAGCAGCAGTTCCCTGTTGTAGATCAGGCACAGTTATGAGCGTGACATGATTCAGCCCATTTACAACTATGTTTGAACGAGAAATGTCCCCCCTTTGGGAATGGCCTAAAGACACTTCAATCAGCTGTCATACCTCCACATGCTTCATAACTAGAGTTATAAAGATAGGAGACGCGACCCTCCAAAAAATTATAGTACAAATTGCACCAAAAAAGAGCAGACCTTTAGTGTCTTTTTCTATTTTATTATAGTTTAAATGCGAGTGTTTTTTACAACCCCATTGACACAATTTAGATATATCTGAGGAGATGGGCTTCCAGCCTGCCCTTTCAGAGCCAACCCAGGCTGAGAGGGACGCAACATCACAGTGGAACGATTAAGATGCTCAATATAAATGTTCCGCTCAAGGGACAGAGAAGGGGTTAACAATAACAGCTACACCAAAGACACAATTTTGTTTTGTTTGATAGTCTAACAATGAGTCAAGCAACAAAGCTGAGACAAATCAATAAAACAAAACAAGTAGCCTACATTCGTAAACTATAACTTTTGACGTCATAGACTGCGATGCAACATCAAAAAGAAGAAAATAGCACTTGTCAAAGTTCATTAAGTGGGCAGCCAAGTCATGAATAAAAGGCAGGATAAAAACTGGCAGATCATGCCGAGTTACAAGTCAGGCTGCCACATCATTAATCATTATCCCTAGGTTTTATTCTGGGCATGGAGATAAGCTGAAAACTTTGTCATCACAAACTAGGTCACAATACAAAATTAGGTCGATTCTAGGCAAACTAGTACATACCCCTAGCGCAAACCAAATATGTTCCGAGCCCAAAATGAGGTTATACTTTCAGTACATGTGTCAAAGTGCTTTTTCAATTCAAAGTCTGATAACAGTAGGGATTACAAGCAATCATGTTACTCTGATATAAAGCGGTAAAAGCAACAGGAAAAACTGCAGCTGTTGTTACATTAAGATATTCGGAATTGTTCAATCCAGCCTGCAACTTGGACACGTGTGCCCGTGTGCCTGTCTTAACACATAACCTGACACACCTCTTTAAGAGACTTCACTGTTCTTTCCTGGACTTTTCCTCCCGAAGCCACAAATCTGAAAAAAATAAAACAATAGTAAAACAGAATAGTCTCATTTGTATAGTTTAGTTTTAGGAAAAGTTTAGGACACTTGCAACACAATTAGGTCATATAAATTTATATTACAAAAGCTCAAGATTAGAGATGTTACTGGAAAGTAAGACCCAGAACTTCCCCCAATGTGTCCTTTGTGTGACTATGCATATGAGACAGTGGAACATCACCTTTTCCACTGTACAGCCCTAAATGACATCAGAGCTACCCTTCTCCCTCCGAGACCTAACTTCGACAACACACTCTACGGAACATTACAGCAACTGCAGCAAACCTGCACTTATCACTACATGGCATTGGACAGAAGGGCGAGAGCCCAGATGTTGCTGGATCGATAACAACAACAACAACTGGAAAGTAAGATAGAAAGAAAAGAAGGAGGAGAGATAAAGTAAGATTGGTGTTTTATAGGAAAGAAGGAGCACACTACACCAGAGAGCCTGCCAACCAACCATGTCTCATCTATAGACATCTGGAAGATTTTCAGATAAAAGATGTACTACCCAAACAAATTTTTCACATAACTGATTCCACTTTTTTAATCTAAAAAAATGCAATGCATAGAACAAGAGGTAAAAAAAGCAATGGGAGAAAAAAAAAAGGATTATTTATAAAACTTTTGCAACAGTCCCCACACAATTCTTACTTTACTATTTTCCTTCCTCAGATATCTTAAGGATGTCGAGGGGAGGTGCAAGTTTCGGTCCTGTGCTAGGTGTGTAGCGTCTGCGATAGATATGTTATGTTGTTCCAGGACCTTTTAAACCCCATCCAGCTAGGTCTTTCTTGGTCTTCCTCTTGATTTGAAGCCGGATTCTCGGGTGTTGTAAGCTCTAGCCACTAATTGTTTCTGGGCATTCTGGTTAGATGTCCAAACCATTTGACTCTTTGACGCTCTGTGAATTTTATTACTGGTGGTATTCCGGATGCTTTTGTTTCTTATCCCGTCTCTTCACGTGACGTTGATGGTTCTGCGGAGACACCCCATTTCGCATGCATTGGTTTTTCTTTCATATGCCTTGTTTAGAGACCATGTTCAGCACTGGTGAATGTTGGTATGAAGATGCTGTGATCTTATCCATGTAAGTAGGTACCAGAAATTTTCAAAGCAGCTGTATGCCAAATTTATCTGTTCCATTTGAAAAGCCTATATCCAGTGAGCATTTTGGTACCATTCTTTAACCTCTCAGTCAATTTTTAAGAAAGTGGTAGTTGTTTAAAATTTGATCAAATTTGTTAAAGTCAACCCCATGTTTGACAGATATTAAAAGAGTACCAAGTGCATTAAATATCTCCACATTAACAGAGTACAATCCCTATAACAAATATATGGAGCCTAAATTTTTTTCAAGACTGTGAGATCTTCACAAATCAGTATTTTATCGCCTCAAACACGATGATCTGTCGTTATTTCAACAAAAACACTGAGTGCTGACCCGGCCAGTGCCGCACCGGCCCCCGCGGAGAGCGAGTCGTCACTATGCTGTTGTTTACCCCGCGTGCGAGGTCACATGCTTTCCGGGTCTCGCGGAAGGATTGATGAAAAATAATTCCAAGCTGATTACTTTTTTCTAATAGGAAACAAACTGATCTTTTAATTGATACCTTTTTTAAGCCGGTATTTACATATCTTGTGTAAAAAGTGATCTTTAAACATTTTGACTGTATTTTTAAAAGCTTTCTATTTAAACGCCAAAGGCCTTTTATATACCACGGGAAAGCCCGTTTAAAGCTCTACAGTTCTCCGCCAATGAAAAGACGGTATTTAATCATCCCTAGTTCCGCGAAGCATTTGAATGCATGCGTGTCAATGTTTGAAACGGCCGACCACGCATTCCAACCGCCAGGGGCTTCCTTTTCGTCTGCGATTCTCCAGCTCCTGATAATCAGACATATAAACAACTTACACCATTGTAACGAGGAAAAGCTGAACTTTTACAAGGTGTACGGCATTTGGAGTTTTATAGCGAAAGAGCAAAGAAACAGCGATCGGAATTACCCCGATTTTACCGATACCACGCGGTCGGAAGGCCGCGAGAGCCTGAGAGGCCGTGCTTACTCTACCTAATTAAGTGATGAAGAGAAGCAGAGAGAGAACACACCCTTGTCTCACCCCAGACCTGATGGGGAACCAGTCCGATAATTCTTCTGTTGATCTTACGGCACACAGGCTGTTTTTATATGAAGTGCCATGATGTTCTCCAGCTATTGTCCTGTTACACCATATTCCTCTAAGACTTCCCAAAGTTGACATCTATCTACCTGGTCAAACGCCTTTTCGCGATCCGTGAAGAGGATATTGAGGCCTTTGTCATGTCCAAGGCAGTCTCACACAACTGTCTTATAATGCAAAAATAGCGTCAGTACAGCCCCTGCCTTTTCTGAAGCCAAACTGGGATTCACTGAGTTGAGTCTCTACAATTGGTCTCATTCTCATTTCCAGGTCTCACACAATTTTAAATTCTCTAAATTGAGATCATTCAGATCAAAATGTGAAATTCATCTATGAAATTCAGAAATCTTCACATTTTTATAATCCCAGCTTAAAATAGGATATTGTACCATAGAAGTCAGCAATGGTTTGTTTGTAAAAATAATTTGATTTGATTTGTAGGTTTGTTTACATGGAAAATGTGAATATAGATCTATATAGTCTTTTTGCTCCAATGGTGCTTTTGTTTGAAAATGTCAAAAAGGGAAGACAGAAATGCTTTTTTCTTTTCATTTTTTGGACATTGTAAAACTTCCTTTAAAAAAAGACAACAAAAAGTCTTCATAGGGACAATATAAAAGTCTTCTTAAGAACTTACTTTTTCATTAGCCAGTCAAGGAACTTGGGTGTCTGAACAATGATAGTGGTGAAGGCATACGCATATCTGTGAACAGTTTTGGTAACAACAAAAAAACATAAAACACATGAATAATTTTTAGTTTTAGTAAGAGTTTTACAGCATTTGCAACGCAATAAGGTCATATGAGTGCCGAAGAATAGATTACGTGTTACAAGAGAGTAACATACACAAAAAAGAAGGAGGGGAGATAAGGACGACAGATGTTTGATAAGAAAGAAGGAGCAAACCACACCAGAACACCCGCCAACCACTCACACACATGAATTATGCAAATTCAAGCCACCATCTGCAGCCAACTACTGTTTGCTATTCTAAAGGCATAGAGCTTGCCTCTTACACCGCTATATATTTCTTTTATGCCGAGTTTGTGTTGTGACGATATGAGGACACATAGGGTAACATCTTCTGATAGAATTCAGCACCTTGTCTTCATGAATAAGGATGAAAGACTTCAGAGACACTATAAGTATTAAAATATCTTGGCAGCATGTCAAAAAAGAGCAGGCCTGACGAGAAGAAGAAGAGGACGATAAAATATGGAGGGGGAGGAAGAGGATAATGATGATGACAAAGACGATAGCGAGGAGAATGAGGACACAAATGAGGATGAGAAGATAAAGAAAGAGAAAAAATTACAGGTACAACCTAGCTAAGCATTTCAGCTGCTCCCTGATATATCTTAGTCTATTCGAAAGAGTGAAAGAAAGCCTCTTCAAACAAACAAGCAAATATAGTGATCAGACAAGTTAGACAAACAGACAGGAAAACATACACACACGAAACAGCTCATAAACATTACACATGGTCAACATTTAAACCATTTGTTCATTAATCATACACACATGAACTTTAAATCCACCTTCTTTGTGCCATAAACTAATTGTGTGTCATAGAACACACCTGTTTGCATAACTTTCACGACAATATTCTTCTTATTATTATCAACCCAATTCGGTCATGTAAGCCCAACAAAAAGATTTTCACCATCATCGGCCATCCACAGTATTAACTAAACTGACATACAGACAATGATAAAAATTTGTCAGTAAATATGTTAAAAACATTTTCACTTATATAATATAAAATTTCACAGTAAAGTATGTACCATTTGTACATCTAGATTCTTCTATTTAGACTAGTTTCCTTTCTAAAAGAGAGGGTCTACCTCAGAACAATAACATCAGAGTTTTAATTTACGTCTACCGAGTTTTTATTTATATTTACTGAGTTATAATTTATGTTAAAGTATTTTTGCCTTGTTTCTTCAGTAATGAGACTCGACCACATGACAAGCACATACCGTCATGTTGTAAACTTTACGGGCTATGAAAATCAGGAGTTGTGCAAACAACTCCTTCCCCTTTAATGGAATGAAAGGAGGGAAAAGAAACAAAAAAAGAGACCTACATGTCTTACATCTGAATGACTAACAAGCGATATACATTATTCATGATGTTTATATTTTTTAAGCAGGATCAGAGGATGAGAGAGAGACAGGGAGAAAAAGAGAAAGGGGGGGACGGGAGACAGGGAAAAAGAATAGAAAAGAGAGAGGGGGGCAGACAGGGAAAGAGGATAGAAAAGAGAAAAGGGATGAGAGAGAGAGAGAGAGAGAGAGAGAGAGAGAGAGACAGAGACAGAGACAGAGACACAGAGAGACAGAGAGAGATAGAGACAGAGAGGGAGAGAGAAGGGAAGGACAGACAGACAGACAGACAGACATACAGAAAGAAAAAGATAAATGTGCGAGAGAGAATATAGTCAAATAGGACAGTGTCTCATTCGTATCAAAGATCAGTAAAATTCTTCTTCACATTGCACTGTGCAGCGACCACCGCTGGTAACCCACTGGGCTGCTGATCTACTTTGGTCTCCATCAAGCCAAAACGTAATATATTTCAGTAGATCATGAGCAACCAGACATTTGTATTCTGTTTTTTTACCTATAAATGTAACATTACTGCACACAAAGTGGTGATTTAAAGGGCAGGGAACTTTGGCTTGTGACTAAGAGAAAGGTTGAAGAAAGACAGGGAAAGAGGAGATAATACACCAGCATATCAGTTTGTCCATCATTAAAGGGGTTTTCATCTCTATTTTTATTTTTTTTGTTACTCCTGACCCCACTTAAAGGCATGAACAAATAAAAGAACAGAACAAAAAGCGAAATCTTACGTGTAAGTGTCCAGATTCAACTTCTGCAAATGTTCCAGATCTACACGATGGAAATCTCCCACCAGCTCCTTCAGGAGATCATATTGCTGGTCCTGCCAGAGGAAAATGGAAAGAAAAATAATATCATTATTATTCATGACAAATGGATGGTAAATCTTGTCACATCCAAGTCATTTGCAATCAAAGCTGAGCCTTCAAAAAAGAAGCTCGGCAAAACGTATTTATGGTTAAATCAAAAAGGTCTCTTTTGTAGGATGTACTGAGGGACATGTGTCCAATTTAACTTTTTTTTTACAGAGAGCATATATATCTTCGCTATTTGTACTGCTAAAAGCCTATCATAAAAAGACCAAGCACAAACTCCAGTATCACGTATATATCTCTCAGCTGAAATAATAGGTTTTCATCCCCTTCCCACGACAAAACAATAATAAATGTAAGCATGTTCCAGACGGCTCTCACCTGTGGCGTCCTGTAGGCGATCATTCCTGGCACCAGTGTCTGCCCCGTCTCCTTTGCCAGATCGGACCGAGCAAGGCTGGCATAATACTTCCATGAGTCTCTCACCCACTGCCTGAAATTGTACAAAGTCATTATTAAAACCAGGTTTTGAAAAATTAAGTTAAATAAACACAAGTGGTGTGACACAGTTTTTTGGGGGTTTCGATAAGAGTTTAATAGCACTTGCAACACAATTAGGTCATATAAGTGCCAAAAATGAGGGAGATAGATATTTGATAGGAAAGAAGGAGCAAATCATACCAGAGCACCCACCAACCACCCATCGTGTGACACAAATGATCAGTCAAAAATTTAACATTATCCAATAGGATTGAGAAAGACAATGAAGAGCAAAGGAAACTCCTATAATTATAACCAACCATGGTTATGAGCGACTCATGGATTTAAACTGGGATAGCCTGCACAACAGTCCTGCATGATGTCAACTGACCAAATAGCTAACTTCGAACTGATTCTTTAAAACAGAATTAAAATAAATGATGATAATACTTCAAATTTCTACAGTTCCTTTTCACTGGGATGAGTCTCAAAATATGCTTACATACGCCAGCTCTCTTACTACAAGTATCTCTAGATTACATGGCAAATCTCCAAATGTATGTTAAAATTACATGTCAAGCATACTATAAGACATACTGAATAACAAACAATAGAAAAAAAGAAGATATTTTGGGCATTCAAAAAGTACAAGATACCCTCCCCCATTCCTACCTGCAAACCCATATTTTCTCTTTTTGGGAAAAAGTAATGAGATACTTGTTTACATTCAAAGACAACGCGCTTGTCATCAACACAAAAGTGAAGGAAAGAGCGAACTTGTAAGTATACAAACTAATGTTCTAAAATACAAGTTGTCGTAATCTTATTCACTACAGAGGATTGATTATAAGCTGCACTTTTGAAAGTATCAAGACTTTCTCAAGCATGTATTTGGAGATCTGATGCCAACCAACGTAACTGTTTTAAGAGAACCACATACAGTATAACACAGACAGCTCGAATTCGGCGGGACCAGCCTCGGTGGATAGAGGGACCCCTAGTTTGAGGAATGTCTTACAAAGAAAAACAATTTTTTTAAAAAGGGGCCGCAGGCACAGTTCGACGGAACTTCAAGTATTGTCAAGTATTCTGTGTTCGACCTGTCTGCATTATACTGTATCACACTATGAGGAAAATGAGTTGACTCGGAGAGGGCTAGATAAGTTGTGGCTCACTGTCCACAGAACAGAGAGCATGTGCATGCACACACGTTGGCTCCCTGAACTTTGTAACAGTTACAGAATAGCTAAATGCTTACAGATCAATAAAATATACCTAACATGGAAAATAAAACACGGAAAATTCTTTTTAAAAATTATGCCAACATACATGAAATGGGGGCAGTACAATATATTCTCTCAATATTTTTAAAACAAATCTAATTTTCCGAAATGCAAGCTGTCTTAGTTTTATTTATCATATGAGTTCATGAGTTCAGAAGTAAAGATCACATTTTGCTTTTATTTGCAGACTACAAAATAGGCATACAATGAGCTTTTGCCATAACAAGTTAAAGATTTTTTACGTTTACAGACCTATGATTATTGATGAGTTAAAATGAGGTAAAGTCACTGAAAGAAAAACCAAGATAATTATCCCAAAATTGGAATCCTTATGGATACCTGTATGAGTTTTGTGCCATTTCATTTGAAAAAGTTGAATATCTTGTATGATCAAATTTTCCTTTTGAAAATGTTCCCACAATGTCAAATGAGTAGACAGTTCCAAGAATATTTTTTTTTACATGTAGGACCTTCATATTGTTGTGAAGAAACTACTTTTTCTCTTAGGACGTTAGTAAAAATATGAATATATATAAAAGGACAAAATTATGTTAGAGCTCTAAGGTTCAATGGTTAGCATAAATACAATGTGTCACAATGCAGTGGAATCAGGCGCTCGCCAGTTTTTGGGCAAGTGGAGTTATTGGTATCATCTTAAAATTTGTTCATTTGTCTTACTTTCAATGGAAAAAATACTCATTTATTTTGAAACAGGAGATGAGACATATTTGCAATTTACAGAGGTGGGGGTCACCTGATTTCAGAGGTAAAGTTAGCGAGACCATGACTGTCAAAGTTTTATGACTTCTATAGCTTGGGAGTACTTTGAAACTGAAAATTAAACATTTTTAATGACATTAATTAATGTTTTTCTATAAAACCTACTAAGAAATGTGGGTTGAAATTTATATAAAAGGTGTTTAGCTAACAACAAGAATAATTCAATAAAAATTGCCAAACTGGTGAAAAAATGCAGATTTGTTTAATTTTATTAATTTGACGAGAGACTGATTTCAGCACAATGTTTCGAATTTGTCAGTATTCAATTGTCACAAATTATGAAGAAAAAATCAGAATCGTAAATGAAGGAAACTACAAAAAAATGAAAGAAGGTTTGTTAGTTACAGTTTCCATAACTTTCCACTATAAAAAAAGATAGTGTATTTAAGTTTGAGGTATTGTTAACTTCCTATCCAAACATTAAAAAGTGCAGTTTGATCTCAGTAAAATGATACTAAGAGAAAACTACTCAATCATCTTGCAACAGAAACATCCTATGCTCCAGCAATTGCAGCCATCATCTAAACAATGATTATGTCTCCAGAAACTTGCTTTGTTTACTTTGTACCACAAGGCATTCTATCTCAAAGAATCCTCATTATGACTTTCTGATTCTCGAGGTCCATAAAAAAGAGTGATCATGGTATCTCTATCAAAGTTTTAAAAAATCAATGAACATAATAATATTCTAATTACATACCCTTTTCAATTAATGCTTCTTGATCCCCACTGCCTTTAAGGAATACAGAAGATCTATTGCTTTTGTCTGCGTACAGTTTCATATTCTAATGTCATCTTTAATTCTAAATTTAAAAAGTTACACATCAGCATCAGCCTTAGCGTTAGAGTTGTGTTAATGAGAAAAAGACAACATGAAGAGTGTAGTCAAAAATTTGTGGGACAACTTATTGTCAAATATTTCCTCAACTATCGAACACAGACTCTCCAACTTTTACACAATGACTTATATCAATTTGTCTCAACAGATGAATATTTTTTAAAAACATTTAAGCGCCGATTTTGAGAAAATTCCAGAATAAATGCCAATAGAATATCTTAGTCGATAGTTTCAACAGATTTTAAAAGGTTGACATCCTATGAGCTAGGAAAAAAGCACTTTTAAAAACAAGTTGGTCCTAGTTCTTCTAATCACGACACTTTGACTATGTTTATGTAACTCATGTTTTTAGCATCTTGAGTGCAATTAATGATGTGGCACAAAACTTTCTCACTGGTATGCAACGAAGTCAAGAATGACAGCATCAAAGCAAGGCATCTTCCTGTCACAATATCTCATTTTTAAATAGATTTATGAATGTTTAAAATTATTTTGCCTCAATTGTTAAGGGAAACTATAATTAATTAAATTGAGACAAAATTGATAAAAACTACTGGGTAAAGTATGGGTGACACTGATTCACCCGTTAACATAAAGAGATATTTGAGGATAAGTTGCGCCACAAATTTCAGACCGCACTATAGTAGTAGATTGTTATAGAAGACCCCTCAAAAACAGAGACAGCATCAGACATACATAAAGGTGGTTTTTTTTGTGGTCCTACTCAGGAAGCAAAGGCACAGTGACACCTAGATAGAAACATGCAATCATGATAGATCAAAATGGTGTACCTGGAAGAAAATAAAATAAAGCAGGTTAAGAATAAATCATCGTTTACCGTGTTTCTACCTCGCTAGTCAGGACTGGCTTAAGAAATACAGTTGAATGTTCAAGACAGTCATCTGTGGAATCAACCACTTCCCATATAATGCATTTTTTCTATATTAAATACATAGTCCAAGAGGACCGTCTGTCTAAGAAGACCACTGTTCTCCTCAACAATGAATGATCCTCTCGCACAGGTACGACTGTATATGACATTACAATCCCGCAAAAAAATGGAAATGCTCAATAAAAATAAACCATTTTCCCCAGTTGAAATTGAGCTCGTCTTTTACATGCAAAGACAAGACACTTATCATTAACACAAATAAGCGAAGGAATACACACAAACAAACATACTCCAAGTGTCACATTCTCTCTCTAACATTCTTTCTCTCCCTTCATCAAACTTTCTCAGTTTCTCAGTCTATTTTTAACTTGTGGAAGTGAGCATGTTTCGCTCCATTTCTTTATCTTTCTTTCATATATTATCCTAAGATAAAAATGTATATATAACATCAAACACTTTCTTCCAGAACTGTTTCTGTTTCAGCAGAGATGGATAAAAACATAGTCAAACAGCTGAAGAACAACCTGGTATCATTTACAAGATGCAAAAGGTCGTATAGTTTTAAAGGTCACATATCAAAGTCAAAGTATAATAACAATCAGCTCCAAATGTCTTTCAATACAGTAAAATGAGACCTGAAAAAAAAAATCAATTCTCCATTTCCATCAGTTGTGGGCCAAGGCATTCACAGATGATTGTGACAGGATTCTCTTCTAGGAAGCAAATAAAAGCATTTTAAAAACATATTTAAAGAATGGAAAAATTCAGAGTCAAAATTAAATATTACCTAAGAATAATATAATTTTCTCTCTAGAACAGAAACATTCTGCGGTGAAACAATATAAAGGAAAAGCCTATAAAATAATATGCAGGTGACCTTTGCCACCTTAAGAAATGAAAGCAGTTTATAAGCAAAGCATGATCCTACTATGAATCAGAACAGCATAAATAAAGCAGCCAAACAGTCAAGAAATATTTTCAGGAAGACTACCTGTTGTTAACAATAATTTATTTCTGGACTTCAAACCACTTCTTCTTTTTCTCTGTCTTCAAATTCTCCCATCTAAATCTCTTGACAGAAAGTAGCAGAATAAAAAAAACTTAGTGACACCCCACCTCCCCCTCCAGAGATCAGCGATTGTCCCTACTGTCAAGTCTTGACACTTCATGTGTTGTAAACAAAATCATCAATGAAGAATATGATCAGGGGTTTCAGTCAAAGACAGACACTGTATCTTTCAACCTCAAAATTAGGCATTAGTTCAAACCCATTAATGACTCTGTCATCTCCCTCCACTCCAAGCAGATACCCTAGTGGAAAGGGAATATGGACCAACCCTGGAAAAAAAGTAAAAAGTGTTCTTAAAAACATGCTTCTAAACTGTCCCATTTTTATATAAATAAAACTAAAACATCTATGGGACCAAAAATGATGTTTCCACATCCAAAAAAAAAGAGTGTACCTGGGATTTAAAAATGTCGTTAATATTAAAGGTATGCATCAATGTCAGTTACAATAAAATAATCGATGACACAAATATTTTCTACGATTTTTACCCTTAGTTTCCTTCTCAGCTGACAGATGAAGTGAATCAAGGCCAGCTAATTATGAAAATACAGAGGCGATAATACAGAGGCTCTGATTTGAAAATGCGCGGTAAAGGAGAAACAAGCCAAAGCTTTAAGAGGTGCAAATGTTTTCCATTCTTGCGTATAACACAATAACTCACTCAGCGACTTTAAGATCCACACCCTTTGCGATGTCTGGCATAAATGGACGGAAAAATCCCCCGGCCCCAAAGCTGGTGGTGTCTGTGGAGAACTTGTCTGCGATGACCGTCACTTCAGCCTCCGGTAGCTCCTTCTGGACGTTGATGGCTGAGCAAAGGCCCACCATACCTGCGCCTATCACTGCTACTCGCACCATGGTGTCTGGGTTCGTTCTGGGAACACATTGACAAGACCTGATTACATAACGGCATCTTGTTTGATTGTTTGTTTGAATAAATAGAAGACGAAAGTCGATGCAATAACTGCCATTCAGTTCAAGGAGAAGGCAACTTAGATGGACAAAAAATAACAAAGGGAAAGAAAACAAGTAGGACCTTCCATTCAAAAGGACTACCTTTAGAACAAGCCCAAAGTACATGAAGTATAGTAGCCTTGTTTCCATTTTTCACACGTACAAAGATGATAATAATGATGATGATGATGATGATGATAATGGTGAAACTAGAGACGATAACAATGGTATTGATGATAAAGCTGTAGATGTTTTTTGCTGATAATGAAGATGATAATGGGGAGTAGTGACACAAGTGACAACGAACTGGCAATCACGAGAATGATGATGACGACAACTGCAATGATGATGATGATGATGATGATGATGATGATGATGATGATGATGATGATGATGATGATGATGATGACGGTGTTGGTGGTGGTGGTGATGATGATGGTGATGATGATGATGATGATGATGATGATGATGATGATGATGATGATGATGATGATGATGGTGTTGATGGTGGTGGTGATGATGATGGTGATGATGATGATAATGATGGTGAGGATGATGACGACAATGACGATGATGATGATGATGCTAATGGCCATGACGACGATTATGGTATTGTTGACGATGATACCGACGCTGAGGATGTTTACAAACTCTGCTGTTGATGACAATAATGATGAAAAAATATGGAAATAATGCAGGTGCATACATGAAAGTGACTAGCTTTGTAAAAGGTCCCCCAATTTAAAAAAACCCAATATTTCTCATAGTACCACATGTGAAACGAAAAACGTCATTTACCTCATCTCATGTAATATTGTAAAAAGTCTGTCCAGCCCTATATGTACGTCAAACTACCATCATCCTAAGCCCTATTACAATAGCTAGATTTAATAACTATAGGTATTCAGTATTCAGTACAGAAAGATTCTTGCACAGCCTTCGCCAAAATTTCAACAGTCCTACCACAATGGAGCCTCCGAATTGCAGCTTCAGTATATTGAGATAGTCTAAAAACCCATTTAAGACAAACCCAATCAAAGAGAATCAATCAGGACTTGGAACTGTTTTAGTTTTAGTAGAGGTTTTACGACGCTCACAACTGCATAAAATCATATATGAGCCCCATAAGATTAGAGGTGTTACAAGAGAGTAACAAACATAAAAAAGAAGGGGAGATAAGGACGATATACATGTATGTTTGATAGAAAAGAAGGAGAAAACCACACCAGAGCACCCACCAACCACACACAGGACTTGGAACTTGGGATCTCACAAAATTCTCAGTGGCTTAAACATCGACAAGCCACGATCAGAGGACCTTGAATTTATCACGCAAAGTACTGCTCATCCCTCGTATTCCAGTAACCGCCCCCCCCCCCCCCCCAACCGCGCCGCCACAGCCTTTCCGTAACGTCTCTATAGCATCCACGCACATGTTTCCCCTACAAAGATCTACTTATTTTATTGCTGCTGCTGCTGCTGCTGCTGCTGCTGCTGCTACTACCATCACCGCTACCACCACCACCACCACTACTACTACTACATAGCTTATTGCTGCTGCTGTTGCTATAACATATTAATATGATATGACAGTATATATATGATATAATATAATATCTTACTTACAATAGTGACGATGATTCTACCAAGGGTAACAAGTTACAGGACGCCATGTGACAACGATTCGGTATTTAACAACAAACAAACAAACAAACAAAAAACAGTACTTCATGTATTATATCAACCGAAAACAAGAGAAAAATAATGATTCGCCTAAGAAATTAGTTCATGATGATCCACTACCTTTTCTTGAGCAAGGCTTATCGCAGGAGATAGTCACTAGATGTACCTGAAAGCTTACCACCAGATCGTGAACACATCCATTTAAGAGATACAGAACAAACAAAAGGGGGGGAAATCGGGGAAAAGGTCTGAATAGAATAAGGAGGAAAACATACGTGAGAGGAAAAAAAAAGCATTTATCGCAATCAACCATTACCTATCCGTGTAATCTGTTGACAGCAACGAATTCTTAAAGTTAAAGCCAAAGTTCGTGCCGCGACTTATATTAGTCAGCATAAATTCACCGCACATACAGATATATACACTTGTCATCAAACGGAGCGGAGAAGCAGTGAAAAGCGTTCCATTTGAATTCTCCAAAATTGAATCTATACTCAGGGCCACTTTCTATCACCAACTACAGGAGTGGGAGTCAAGGACACATAACCTCCTTACAACATACAGTTCCGATCTAGAATTTACGGTCAGGGGCTGCGAGGCACCTCGGACTACAAATAAACGTCTGCTAAGATAAGCGTCAGCTGAGAACACTCTTATCTCTCTAAAGCTCAATAATAGTGCTGCGAGTAAGCTAAGGAAAACGCCGTCCCCGAGTCACATTTACATAATATAACCTACATGTATTATCATAACCTTGCGGGGGTTTGCGTGGGTAAAATAGAAGCTGACGACAGGTTTCGCAACAAAATCACTGCTCAACGATGGCACCGAGTCATCTTATATTTACTACATCTCGTTACTTAATGTAATTGATGTAAACTTTTTATATATTATATATACAGCATAACACGGATAGGTCGAACGCAGAAGACTCGAAATCATGCATCCGTCGAACTGTGCCTGTGGTCCCCATTTGTTTGTTTCTTTTCTTCTTTATCTTTGTAAGATATCCCTCGAACTACGGATCCCTCAAAACTACCGAGGCCGGCCCCCGGCGAATTCGAGCCATCCGTGTTATACTGCACATACTGACCAGTGTGCACGCTACTCTCTCTCTCTCTCTCTCTCTCTCTCTCTCTCTCTCTCTCACACACACACACACACACACACACACACACACACACACACACATTATACACACAAACGCGCTCGCCTGCAAAAACGAACGAACATACAAACACACTCATGAGTACGCAAACGTGCATGTGTCCTTACAATTCAAATCTACCTCTATTTTGGGTTTGAAAAGGATTCATATTATATGGAGTCTACTGCTCCTCAGAAAAGCTAACAGGCTAACAGGAAAAGCAAGATTGATTTTTCATCTTTGTACCCCCTTTCTTTTTCTCTCCCTCTCTTTGTCTCCACGCATCTACCCCCCTCCCCCCCCCCCTCTCTCTCTCTCTCTCTCTCTCCCCCCCTCTCTCTCTCGTGCAGTTGCCAAAGAGAGAAGATGGATGCTATCTTTGAGCAATGAAATTTAACACCGAGAATGTGCGAAAACTGCTACAGCTTTTGTTTGTTTTATTCGTTTTAGTTTTAGTAAAGGTTTTACGGCGTTCGCAACAGCATAAGGTCATATGAGCGCCGCCAAGGGGTGGATGTCAACAGAGAAGTCCTTACAGGAAATCAGGCTTACTCTGCTTACATCTCTAGCGTCAACAGCACAAAGTCTGCTTCGACTAGATCTATTAAGGCACCCAGGAAATAGCGGGCCACAGGAGTGTGACAAAATACAAAAGAAGTAGAGGGGAAATGACGATAGTAAGGATCAGGAAATTAAAAAGCAGCATTTCCCTGTTGCAGTTTAGGCACAGTTATGGGCATGACATTGATGAATCAGCCTGTTTACAATTCTACTGTGCATCCCCTTTGGGAATGGCCAACAGACACTTCAGTTAGTAGTACCGCCCCGGGGGGTGACTGCTACAGCAAATGTAAGGATTATGGCGAGAATGAAGAAACGCAAAAGCAGCAAACCCCACGAGACTGACCGCCAAACATCAGTCTCAAGCGCCAATTGACCCC